ATTCAATTGAACTTTCGAGATCTATATCGATTCCACCTATATGAAAATGTTCCCTTCTTGTCCCCTCAAATAATCAGTTCTCTGATGCTGTTCTTTCTGTTTATCCTTTCTTAATGAATTCAACTATGTATTATGGTTAAAAATTATAGAATTTACTCGATTAATGAGGCGTACGTACAATTATATATAAACAAAAACTACTTATTTTTTAATATTGTTAAAACGCCAAAATATGCAACATCACATCAATAGAATAAATGGAAAACGAGTAAACTTGGAATAAGATCATACAGCCAAGACTTTGTGGCATTAATTTGGAACAATGACGCCAAAAATTTTATAATTGTATTTTGATGGAGAATGTATGATTAAAAAATAATGACATATTTTAAATTTACGTTTAATATTATGTTATCGAAAAGAATTGTTCTAGATGGATAGGGTCACGATGCCTTGTCCATTCAGGGGAGATAGACCCGAGCCAGTAGGGCCAATGTGACTCTGTTCATCTAGCATCACTTTATTAAAGAATGTGTGATTGAAAAAAAAAAATAATATATATTTTATATTACTATTGAAGATATTGTTACAAAATCAATTTTGAAAACCCATTGACGACTAAGTCAATAAGTCCATCAAGTCAACGTACTCGTACAACTTACTCCACCATACATACAAGAGATGTAGCATCAGTTTGCCCCCAGGGCATATCTTCCAGTGGCAAAGGGGAGGACGGATAGGGCTCAGCGCGGCAGTGTACAGAGTTCGATTCCCCGCAAGGTGGAATTGACTTTGTTGCAAGCAGGAGTTACCATATGGGTTAACAGTCTTGGCCTATCCATGTGCTCTCCATCCTGGCTCCTGGGAGGCACATCCTGCGATTTACCTCCTCCACGATGGCCCAGGACAGGGTCGGTGGGGGCCCTTAAGGTTGGAGTTCAACCTTTTTTTTTTTTTTGATGTAGCATCAGTTTTTTTTACTATTGAAGATATTGTTACAAAATCAATTTTGAAAACCCATCGACGACTTAGTCAATAAGTTCATCAAGTCAACGTACTCGTACAACTTACTCCATCATCACTTTTTCTTCTTTTTTTTTTCTTTTTTTTTTTTTTTAATGTAGCATCAGCAGCAGTTGCCCACTGAATAAGTTGCACTATGTGGACCACCTATGTTAATTCTTTGGGAAATGCTTGAGGTATAGAACACTCACAACATGGGTGGGTTGGGTGGGATTTTGGGCATATTTTTATACAAGGGATCCGCCTACTATGAGTGTGTGTAGGGGTTCTGTGAACTCCTGTACACACAACATAATTGTAATTTTTTTGGCATCATCGTAATTTGTCCTGACTATCCTCGTGTGTGTGTACATATTCTAAATTTACTTTTTTACTTATGTGTAAACTTATTAATTATAACGAAGTCTTTAAGCTTTGCCAAAAATTGCTGGTTTGATAAAAATTCAAAGAAAAAAATCAAGTTTTGAAACGTTTTAAGTGTATTGACATGTAGTTCTACCTGATTTCATTAAAAAAATCATATTTTTGTCATATTTTAATAAAAATTGATGAAATGTATAATTGAAAAATTGATAAAAGTTATAAGTCTCATGAAATGTGATTAAAATTAATTATTGATGTTACTTAGATTTTTCTCAACTTCTTAGCTAAACCTAAGGATATGATTTACTCTTCTTAATAATAAGAACGTTTTTAAGATGAAAGTTCAAAAAGCTAAAGAAACAATTCAATTTATGTTAAACTCAATTAAGAGATGGATTTCAATATTATTATTTTTTTTTCAAATGAAAAAAATCTACACATGTAAATATAAAAACAAAAATCGTCATACAAGGGTTTGAGTTCAAACTTAATAAGAATAATGGACAATTTATTCTCAATTATATAAAGGTCCAATGAAGCGTCTCAAATAGAGATGTTAAAAAGTTAAGCCGAACAATCATGTGAGTCGGTTCACGCTCTTCCATGGAGCGAGCCAAACGCAAGTCGACTCGCTTCAAGAAAGTTAGCCTCTTTCGAGCTCACAGCTAGGCAATTTTTTTCTTCCTTTTTTTGCCAGAAATTGCCAAAAACATGAGCAGCTTGTGAGCCGCTCACTGGCTCTCACGATTTTTTTTTTTTCAAATTTTTACCTCTCTCGAGCGGCTTGTCCCATTTTTCACCCCTAGTCTCAAACTACAAGATGCTGATCTCTTTGTTTCTACTTACTTTCTATTTCAAATAATAATAATAATTTAATGAGCACTAGTGCTCATTGTATGATAAGTACTAATGACATGTCATATTAATTCATTGGTAAATAATAAATATAATTTAAATATTGAGACCTACCAATAAAGTAATATGACCTCCTTGCTTAGCTTATGTTAAGTATCGTGCTTAGGTGACAATTAAAATCAAAACTAATAACGGTCACCTAAGAAAATAGATTTTTAGACAATAAGAATATTATTTCACTAGATTAGTCGCAAAGAATTCGATTTATGTATCTACCACCAATAATTTCAGGGCGATTCTTGAGTGACAAGCCCCTGGATGTCCGGGAGCTCGTCACTTTGGCTTTCCCCATAGTTTCAACACCAAATGATATATTCATTTTGTCTTCGTATTATTTACGTTAATCCAATTTTCTTTCGTTATGTTCCAAAAATTCAAACTTTGATTTGTACTAATTTTGAAAAAAATAGAATATAATCAGATTTTGATAAGATATTTTCATTGGGGGCAAAATCGAAGAAAAAATTGAGCAATTTTGTTGAACATGGACCTCAGGGCCGGTGACAATTGTGGACTTCATCTACCTACCTAATACTATTGGGTACGTACAAGTTACTCATGAGTTGGAGTGGAAGAATTGATATATATGCATAGATAATCATAACACGTTATGAGTTATATAATTAATTCTATCATTGGATTCAATTGTTAATTGCTCTTGTAAAAAATAAGATTGATTAACGATTTCAAAGGAATTAGAGCGTCTCATTTCCATTCAAGAAATCTAATGCATTTTTACACTTTACTAAAATCTCGAAAAATGGATAAATTCGTTTTTTTAATAACACACACAAGATTTGTTACTACAGAATTAGTCAAAACATATATATTGATGTTCAATATATTTTATGGTTGGATAAAATGACCAAACCAAATTAGAATCAAGCCTAATTGAGCGATTAGATTCGGTTCTATAAAAAAAAAAATAATAATATAATGATTAATGATTTTGATTCTTAGAACTAAGAACCATTTGGTTCTGGTTGCAAAACTTGAACCTGAATCAAGAATCAAACTAATTATTATTATTATTTTTTCTTTTTACAAATTAGTGGATCACAATAAAAAAAATTTAACCAAAATCATAATCAAGAACCGAACTTAATTTTTATTAAGTTTTCTTTTTACAAATAATGAATCACAAAAAAAAAAAAATTAAAATTACAAGTGTGAAAATGGGTCAAAATGTCATTTACCATTACATTTTACCTTATCACTTATAGACAAAGCAACCAAACCCTAGATCTAAATTCTAATCCATTTATCTCCTTTTCAAATTTAGTCTTTATACGCGCTCGCACTCCCACATCACAACATTACATTTGCTCAATATTTGATGTTTATTTTCTATTTTTTTTTTAGATATATATACTAATTTATGAATATGATAATAGATTTTATTTAACATTTATCATTTGAAAATTTAAGTAATGGAACCATTACCAAACCAAATTCCATATCTTACAAAAATAAAAAATAATAGTAAAAAAAAGGAAGAAAGAAAAGAAAAGAAAATGAAAAACATGGTACCCTTATGAAAAAAATCATTGTTCTTTGTTTGGTTCGATTTGACTATCTTGAAATTAGAACCATGTCAACCCTTCAATTATATTTTGGGAAAAGCCATTTGTACCTGGTGGTTTACACGCCGAGTTACTTGGGCCCACCCGCCCCTCACATGGGGGTCGGGTCCCACGCGTGGGTCCCGGTGTGGGGCCTCATCCCATGTGAGGGGCGAGGTGGACCCGTGTAACCCGGCGTGTAAACCGCCGGGTACACATAGCAAGATCCTTATATTTTTGGATGAAATTCACGTCGGGTACACATAGCAAGATCCTTATATTTTTGGATGAAATTTAGTACACGTGTTGCACTTGTGTAAACAATACTCATATTTTAATATTAAAAAAAACAAAAAAAAGTTACTTCCATACGATATTTTGCTACAAAGAACGCTTCGATGGATGCATAATGTTCTGCCCTCGATTAGTTGGCAAATGCTCCCCTCACTGACTCTTATATAATATTAATTTAGTATTCTTTTAACGTTTTTAAATTTTATAGTACTCTTATATAATATCTTACAAAGGCGGCTTGACTCCGTTGCCATTCCTAACTTTTTTCTCCTCCTTTATCTTCTCCTTTGCCTTTGCAAAAGGTGAAGGCCATATGCTTAACAAACAGTTCGACATGCAAAAGTTGAGAACATTATGTATCTCTCTCTCTTTTTTTCTTTTCTTTTTTTTTTATGAAAATGGAAATCAAGATTTTAATTTAAATCAAAGCCAACAATTAATTTTAATAACACGTTTTATGAGATCCAGACCAATTTTCAACTACACATTTCATCAATCTCTATCAAAATCTGTTAAAAATCTGATTTTAATCTCTACCAATTAGTGGCTATAGTGTAGATTTTCTTACAGGCAACACTTGACATGACATCATTCGAAGATGAGAAAACGACCAAAAAAAAAAAAAGCCAATCAGGTTTGGCCACGTCAGCACGATATTAATTCTGTTCAAATATTCCCGTATTTGGAGCTTCATTGATGGTGTAATGTAGTAGAACAAGGAAATAGCTCAAAACAGAGAGACCAGAAACTGCAAACTACACAAGCTTTACAATCTTCTTCAGTTCGTCAAAAAATTAAAAAGAAGAAAAGACTAGATATACAATTGATCAACTGAACATGTTCTTATTTTCTGATCTCTTTGCCTGAATTCAGCAAACATAGATCAATAATTTTCTCAGCCATTTCTTTTTCATCTTTGCTCTCTTCTATCAACTTTTCTATTTCAGCCTTCGCTAGCCTCATCTTCACCCGAACAGACCCCGACCCAGGAAGCTCAGAAACTGACCGTTGTCTTAACGCGATCCACTCCTTCGGGCTCATACGCACAGCAGATCTTGATCTTCTCGGCGCCTTTTCCTCGCTCAGCTTAGGCAATTTTACTAGAAAATAAATTTTCTTGGCCTTCAACTCCTCTTCAGGCTCTAATGGCTCAGCTCTAATCCCATACTTCTTTACTGCCTCTGGTTCCAATAACACATGGCCAGGAAAGTTCTTGAGCACATCCTGGGTTACTGCTGGTAGTCTTAGCTTGAAAACTTCACCATTAATCTTCATTATTTTGGCTTTCTTTCTTCCTCCTATACTATTCCCCATCTTTCAGTATTTAGTGGATGTCAAGTGTCGATAATGGAGGTGGGAATAAGCTAACTTTTTCTAACTTTTCATGTTCCCTTATCAAGAAAGAAATGGCTAATGTTACTTGTCAGCGTCTTATTTCTTATATAAAAAAATCTGTGGATGGTGGGACTATTATCAGTAAGTAGATATGGGTTACAGACAAAATAAATATAAAGTGGGCTTGCTTGTTTACTGAATTGGCATGCTGTTGCAAGATTCCAACCGTTTCACTACTTATCAGTGAAGACAGATTGAAGAAAAAACAAGTAATGAAGTTCTATTCTGAATAAATCCGAAGAAAATAGCATAAATGAATTTACAGAGTCAAAAAACGAAATATAAAGATTGAACAGAATTGGGTGTAATGGGATAAATTGCAAGTTGAAAATAAAAGAATATTAATCAATAAATAAAAACTCGAACTACTTTTATTAATAAGGTTTTAACCCTTTAGAATGAAACCCCCAACTTTTTATATTATATTAGAGTCCACTAAAGTTAAATGAGCAATTCTATCAGTTCACAACCCAAACGAGCAATCAAATTTCAAAATTAATATGCTCAAAGGACTCATCATCTTGTGGGAGCATATAAAAGGATATATCAAATATTTTGAAAAAAATTATAAAAATATTAACCAACATATAATTAGAGTAATGTGGTAGTGGTTTTAAAAATACACACATGCTAATAGTGAAGATAATTAAATTAAGTCCTTGTTTGATGTAGATTAAAATTAGATACTTTGATAAAAATTGATAAAATGCATGGTTGAAAAATTATAAATCACATTAAACGTGCGGTTAAAATTAATTATGAACTTTGATCGAACAGGGTTCAGTATAGTGAAATATGACGGAATAATATCTAACTTTATGGCCGGTATACAACTTGAAACCAATCGAAAATGTAGTGTCTACATAGAATGTTTCTTTCGACTCTTTGATGCAATTGATCGCCAAGTTTTTAATATGCAGCTAACATGAATCAGTCTACTTGGATGACCACGTTTGTAGTCATCAATTTTAAAGGCAAAAAAAGCATGTCCTGTTACATTATGTCACGAAATCAAACATAATGCTTTATTGTAATTAAATTGGAGCTAAGTGATTCAATTACTAAAAATTGCAGTTGGGGAGAAAGTTGAATGAGAATTAATCTTTTGAATTGGATTACAACACAAAACGAATGTAGCATCGCTCATAAATATAACGTGGCAGTAATTATTATTACATTTCGCAATATCGGGAATCATTAATTTATTGCAATAACTGTTTAACAAAAAAAGGTGGAAAAATCACCGTACAATTAATACTTATATTCCTACATCAGAGCAGTGTTCTAAAAAGCTCTCCTACCCTCGCCTAGATTCAAACTCGGGCAAAATGCCTCGCTTCACACCTAGCCTTTTTATTTTTAATTTTTTAGAAATCTTTTATTTCACTTTAGTTATTTTTATTTTAATTTTAAAAAAAAAAAAGAATTTTTCAGTTGACTTTAATTTCAAGTTGTTAAAAGATTTTATTTGTACAAAAGTTAAAAATGATTTTATCTAAATAGTTAAATAAGATTTAAGTTTTAATGTTATCTACATTACATAATTATAATCTTGAGACTCATTTTATTACAAATGTCAAAAGCATGTATGAAGTTCTTATAAATCTATTAAGTAGAACTTGTTTAGTTGAAAATTGAAACTTTGAAAAATATTCTAATTTTTGCATTTCGAAAACTTGAAATTTTGTATAATTGATTAATGGTAAGAGTAAATAATTAATTATTAGTAAATATTGTATTTTATAATTATTAATTATTAAATAACTTTTAAAATGATTAAAAAATTTCAATTAATATTATAAATAAGAAAACGTTTTTTTTACACCTAATCATCTCCTAGTCTCGTAAAGCTTGAAACTTCTGCTCCACGTCTAATCACATTTTACGATTTTTAGAACTCTGCATGAGGGTTATAAGAAATGGGCACTTTTCTCATTTTCACTCAATGCAATGCCATTTAGAAGAATTAAAACCACTCAAATAGGCGTCCCTCCAATAGGTGACGCCCCGTTCAATTCCCTGTCAATAAACCCTGTCAGCCTAGCATAATTGCATTTAGAATCTTAGATGCCATAATTTCTTATATTGTATAAATTTTATTAAAATGGGACTTTAATTTCCTCACCATTTGTAGTTGGGTTTGGCTTGGGTTACGATGTATTTGGACTGGGTTTGAAGGAGTTTGGATTGGTATTTTTGTTGGTTCGTATATAAATTTGGATCACTTTTGAAATAGTTTGGATTGGGTTTTAGTTGTTGGCTTGGAGTACCTATTCAGCTTTGAACTTGAGTTTGGGTTGTCTTTTGTTTGTTGGGTATTAATTTGGCTTGGTTTAAAATTCTCCCTTGTCATTCATCTACTCAATGTTGAAAATAAAGTTTAAATGATATTAAAACAGACAAAAGTCTTGAATTTAAGTCTCGCAAACACCATTTATTAAATGTTATGCATATCTAAGACTTTAATGGGAAAAAAATGAATCTTACCTACGTGTGAGAGGCGCGTTGAAGATAATATTTAAATAGTTATTATGCATATTTTCTTATCTAACAATTTAAACTTTTAATTCAATTGGTTCATTAGTCACTAGCCCTGTCACCGTTACAATTTGACGATTTGTTGTATCTTCTCGCTCGAATTTCACTGTTTATTCTCTATTTGTACGTGCACACGAAGTCAAATTAAATATTCTTCCTTAAGTTTTATTTACTATTCTTTTTGGCATTAATAAATTCTCCATGCTCATGCCTTTTTCCAAAAAATAAAATCATTTAGTTTGTTGGTGGGAACAAGGGGTAACGTTTGATAGATTTAGCACTACAGAATTAAAATACATAAATAACAAAAGCCGGATTGATGTTAAAGCAAGAAAAAATTAGAGTGAATTCTATAAGAAGTGATTTTTATTTTTATTTTTTTGAAGAATATTTATGAGTTCACGTATAAAATTATTTTATTAAAAAAATATGTTGTCAAAATTTAATTTTAAAAAAATTAAAATAAGCCTACCAAACAGATGTAAAATATTGTTGGTAGGCATAGATGGTCAATCATATTTAAATGTGGAGCTGGAAACAAGAATCTAATTCTACAGCCACAAGTTGGTAGCTTAATTTTGAATCTTTATCTTATTGCTACATTTTTGCTGATTTGAACACCTCTCGATTAATCGCCTCTGCTTTATCACCAAAGAATGATTTGCACTTTCATGAAGCTAAAGATTGGAAAAACATAAGATACCATCAAATTGGTCAAATGCCTTAAAATAATAGAGGAGAATTTTTATTTATTATTTTTTTTTAAGACCTTTTTAAGAGTTCAAGCGATCAATTTAAGATTTTGGGTTTGAGAGGCCCACTTTAAACATCATACGTTGAAAAAGAAAAGGATTTATTCAATTTGTCACCTTTACCATTACCTTCGGTGTCCCCACCCTTTCCTTTCTATAGATACACATATTTATCTATAGAGAGCTAGTGGAAAAGGGGCGTGGTTCACAAAAATTGTTCGTATGTAATTCTAATTTATTTTGTTATTAACATTTAATATATGTTTGACGATGATTTTTTAAATTCATTTTCAACTATGCATTCTCTGTGAATCCAACTTTTTCTTATCTTTTAGTCATATATTTTTCAAAAAAAATATTTTTCATAAATTTTATTCTCAAAATCTCTTCCAAACAATGATTTAATTTACATAAAAGGCTTTTTTTTTTAAATTAAAATTGAATTTACATACAAATTGAAGGCATTGAAAGTACAAATTATAACAAAAATGTAGTTAAATAGAAGTAGGTTGTGTGCATTGTCATATATCATATATCCTTTCTATAGAACTTTAAAAAAAATAATAATAATAATAATTGTAGAGAACGAAAAGATCAAAATAGTTTTAAAAACGAGATTTGAATTTTAAAAAGCCAAAAAGATAGTATGAGGTCCACAATAAAATATTGTACTCTGGATTTCATTTGAATTATTGTCTCCTTTCTCCAATACATGCTTTAATTCACATTTGAGTTATGAATTAGAAAATACTCAAACAACATTGGCCTTTTTTTTTTTTTTTTTTTTATCAAAATTTGATAGTTTGAAAGAGAGATTTAAATTTAAAAATTCTGTCCAAAAAATTAAGACAAATGAAGGCCCATGACAACCCATCATTCACTTTTCCTTCAATTACCCATTCTACCCTTGGCTTGGCTTGCATAATGACCATTTTACTTACCCCTTGTACATTGTTAATGTGCAAGTAAATTGATTTTTCAGTTCATCTTCGACCAAGGGCAAAACAATTTTTAGACACAATGGGACGAAAGATATTCACTTTATCATAATTGGTCGGCTAAGAAATTATATTTAATTTTGTAAGGACCCCACAAATTGATGACAAAAGTAAGAATCAGACAAAGGCTAAATACGAAAGAAATAAACTTCAATGTAATCTAGTAATAAGATCACCCAATTACGTCCGATAAAACATAACAAACATGCACCATGCATCTAAGCTCTTCTTTTCAAGAACCAATCATTCGAGAAAAATGTTGATAAAAAAAAAACTCGGCCTCGATCTTTCACATAACAGAACAAGCATTGGGATTATCCTCGCTGAAGAAATTTGCGATACGTTCTTCAGCTGCATTAGCAGTAGAAGGAAGTGACTGTGCAGTAACATTCTTCACAAATCCAGGAGGTGCCTTTTTATCATAAGCTTGTGATGTATAAGAATAATGAACAGCATTGTGAGGTATATATGGCCAAAATTCAGCTCTTTTCCCAGTGTTCTTCACTTTCTTTAATACTTCGTTCGGATCGACGTAGCCGTTAACAGTTACTCGGCTTTGCTTCCGGTTAATTTCCACACTTTTCACCCCTAAATCATCGATCGCAGCATGAGAGATATTTATGCAACAAGATCGTTAATAAAATCTACTAAAATTTTGATTTTTTTTAAAATCTTACATAAGCTTAATATATAGAATTACACTGCGTATTGACGGATAAAATCATGAATATTACAAATAAAAGGAGTAGCTGCATAATACTTTCATCCTATATTTATTTAGTTATTCTAAAAGTGTAGTAAGATTAGTTATCCCTTTTGACTCCTATGCTTTATGCATCTTTCTTTTTTAAATATTCTTCTTGTCTTCCTTGATATATGTAGCCTCCATTTGGCAAAATTTTTAAATAGTTCGGATATGTATTAGGTCGCCTTAATATCCTCTATTCTCTATATATAAAGGATATTGAGATGAGCCTCTTTTATAATAAGTATAGAGTAAAAAAAAAGGAAAGCAAATGTGCAAATTCGGAAATATATGTAGCCTCCATTTGGCAAAATTTTTAAATAATTTATAAATTCTAAAATTTCATTTCGAGTACACACTCTAATGAACTTACGAGTAGTTATTAGAACCCACAAGTACTATCTATAACTCGTCTCGATCCATCTATAAATTAAGTTCCAGATGGATGCATATACATGCACGAAAGTTCAACATTTGGCAAATTTTAGGTTTCGCAGGTAAGATAGTGTACACACAAATTAAAATTAAATTTCATTTATTATGTGAAACATCTCTGAAAAATAATTATATTCTTGTGGGTACCGAAACCCAACTTATATTAAGTACCTTCCCCTTACAAGTTATGCATATTAATTTTCCACACGACGTGAGGCATAATAAAAGAGAAAAATATGGTATGATGAGAGCAAGGGGATGAGCTTTAAATGGTGAAAGAAGAAGCCAATGAAGTACCTTCCATGTATTTAACAGCATTCTTCACTCTTCTCTCGCATCCGTCACAATCCATTTTCACTTTAATCTCGACTGTCTGAGAAAGGAAAAAAAAAAATTTAACTTCTATATGTATGAGAGGAAAATAAATCAAGAAAACCAAATTTGACACACACAGATATATACATACACACCTGCATTGATCTCCTTCTGGTTCTGGTGCTCTCAACAGTGCAAAAGTTTGCAAGATAGTGAAGAGCACCCATTTTTGTTTCTTTTGATGACACAAACCAAAGGGGGAGGACTTGATATTTATACATGGATTTTGCTGTTTGTGGGGACTTGACAAAAGCCCATGCATGTGATGATGTGAATTAAGGGGTTGTTAAACAAAGTTAACAGATTTTGATAAAAGCTAATGTAATATGTGATTGGAAGTCGATAAAAGTTGTGGATTCCCTGAAATATGTGATTAAATTTGAAGTTTGACTAGTTGAAAAATCGATAATATTTTTAAAAAAATATATCAAACAAGCACTAAAGCAAAAAATGCCTTGTGTTGATTGTGCACAACATAATTATATTGCTCACTTTTTTCATCGACATGAAATTTTAATGTGATAATTAGGGTTGTGTAGTTCGGATATGTATTAGGTCGCCTTAATATCCTCTATTCTCTATATATAAAGGATATTGAGATGAGCCTCTTTTATAATAAGTATAGAGTAAAAAAAAAGGAAAGCAAATGTGCAAATTCGGAAACTATTTGTATTCATCATCTTCTTCCTTATGGTAAAATTTTGGAACGATAAGTGAAGATAGCTCTCACATTAAGAGACCTAACAACCTCAATTATATGTTTTCAATTTTTAGGTTTGTGTTATCATTAAGCGCTCCGTGATACGGTATTGAGTGTTTATTCCAAAGCACCTATATAATTTGCGATCTTGATCGTAAAATCATTTAGTGGGTTACAATTAATGCTTTTAGATTTAAAGTAGCTTTGTGTTTGCTTTCATTATCGTTCAATGGGTGTGGCTTTGCTTTTGAATATTTACATTAGATTGTCACAATAATTGCTTCTGTTGCTGGATTCTGTCCTAATTAGAACATTACTCGCTTCTTATTCTTTTTTTAAACCTCATTCTATCTTTGATTCAATACCCAACTTGTGAGTAGCTAATTAAAAGGTTCAACGTTGCATGCTTCTTCTTACCCAACAAAAAGAATGTAAATGATTAGTGCTTGTTGGGATTTCTGATCGATTGATTACCCGCAAGTGAACGGGATCGTGAACAAGTAATAAAATGGTGTGTAGGGTATCGAACTCACGAGGACTATGTGTTTAATCGAGTTAAAGCTAATAATTCCCTTAATCGAATAGCAAGGTCGAGTTGTAACTAACACTATTAAATCTATCAACTAAATAGAAAGCAAGTAAAAGTTTATCAAATTTGCGAGAAGTATTGCTAAAATATGGAATCCCCCTTACTACTCTATTTTTAGTTCGACAATTTAAATTGACAATTTGAAATCATGCTTGTTGGTCAATGTTCCTATTTTAATTGAAAACTTCTCTCGATAATTATCAAATCTATTCCCCTCATATGACCTTCCTATCCCTCGATGAAAGATGCGAAGATGATAAATGTATTAAACGAGCTAGAACATCTTATAAAAATCATATGAAGCATAGAGGTATATCTCTATCCTCTATCGAACCTCACAATATTTATTATTTTGTGCTAATGTTCCTATTGTCTCTCTCGATAACAACAAAATTCACAAACAATTCCACTAGTGGCCAATTAATTGAAAAGCATGAAAACGATAATAAACATCCAAACAATTAAACAAATTAACATCAATTAAATTATTCAAATTAAAAATTTATAACAAGGGTTCATCACATCCTAACAAATATGAAAAATTAGTCTAACATATTTAAATTACAAGAAATCATATATAAGTGGAAAGACATAACTCAAATTTTTTATAAATTGAGAAGATAAAGACGAATATTGAAATCTTGAATCTCTTCAATAGTTTCTTAATAAATCTCCACCTGCGCTCTTTCTTCTTTGTTCAATACCAAGTTTGAATCTTCACTTAATTGAATTCTTGCAAGTCCACTTCAATTTTCTCACAAAAACAATGAATTCTCCTCCTTTGATAATGATAATTGATAAATATTGGAGTATATTATATATAAGAGAAAAGTATGAGAGCCCCCTTTGTGTATTCTCCTGTTGGGTCTCTGTAGTGGTCGAAAATTGGTGAAAAATCACGTCCAAATTGGTTTTCAAAAGAGTTCCAATCGAATAAGGAAAGTTACACTCGCGCACGGATTTTTTTGTCTCTGCACAGCAGTCAGTATTTTGATCATAACTTTATCTCCCGATATCCGATTGAGTTGATTCAAAATGCGTTGGAAAGCTAACTACAAGGGCTACAATTTTTCTAGAAATAGATATTTTTCAATTCGGACGTTTACTATGCCAAAAATTGGTTGCAGTCCTTAATTAAAAATCTGAAAAATATATCATGGAATTGAAAGTCGATTTATGGTAATATTCTGATGATATTCCGTTCCTTTTTGACTTCTAATTGTATCCAATTGACTCCCATCAATCTTTAAAATATCTCTTATGGTCCAATTCAACCATTGGATATTTTCAATTTGGTCCTCAACTTTGTACTTCGTCATTTTTTGCCCTTTTTCACTTCTTTCTTTCGGTTCAACTTCCAACCATCGAGTTTTACCTAATAAATGAAATATACAACAAATTATGCTATAATTACTTTAAAAAAATATTAAATGTCTATATTTTTAGGTCTACGTAAGTGTATAAAATACAGTTATCAATTTCATTATAATCTTATAATTTAAAATTGTTCGTCCATTTAAGGTCAAAGCTGTCCACGATAGTGCATGGGCTGCCCGATGTTGGTTTCGTTAATTGATTCATATGCAATGAGAAATAAAAAAATAAAAAAATTGATTAACTAATGTAATTTTATCGTATATATCTTGATAAACAGTTTGATCCCGAATTCGGTTAGATCAATAATAAGATTAAATAGGCACGAATTTTAAACGAAGGGACACAATTTTCCATTTGGCTCAAGTAAATTTATAATAGTTTAAATATATTCTATGTAAAAAAATTCTTCTGTTGAACCTGAACTCAAGTTCGTGCTCATGTTGAACGGTGCTGGTCGACCAAGATGCAATCATGGTGTCCAAAATTCCAAACTCAAATCCAAGCCTTAGGATTAATAAATTCAACCATGTTCTTTTCCCAATCAACTTGCGACATGAAGCTTTCGTTTATTTTTTCATTCTTTTCTTCTATTTTATCTCTCCCGTCTAATGTTGCATATACCCTCTTTTATTTGCCATTGTTTGTTAAGACTAATATTCCCGTGCTTTATTATTAGCATCGGATTCTTGTAATAAGATTGCAAAACTTCGTTGGGAATCTTTTCAAGTGAAAAAAAATAAAAAAAAATAAAAAATAAAGGGGCTTTTTAGAGGATCAATTTGTTAAATACTCTTCCCTAGTTGGTATCCAATATGAGTACTTTAGAGAGCATTTTCATGTGATCGTAGATATCACATTTACATTTTATTTTTTATTTTGAAAATTATTAATTTTCTTGCTTTTAGAATAAAAAGTTACTTATTTCAACTGTTATATTGAAGTTACTTTTAAAATAAATAATTTACTTATTTCTAAATCTAGTTGCAAGTATTCTTTGATGCCAAACTTGCACATAGTATTGGTCTTTCCAAATGCACGCAATCACAGGCTTAAAATCTGGTTGGCCCCTCACCTAATATATAACTTTTTATCCATTTAGCCACTTCAATCGAGTTTAGTCCCAACTAACGATAACGCTAATTAAGCTCATAATACCTACGTCACCTAATTGATTTGACAAAGCCAAGTACACCAATTTTAAAGAACGAAATCGTGTCCAACACAATTTCATGGTGACAAAAGATCGCTAGGTATCACTACTAGAAAGGGAGGCAACAAAAACCCATTCCCAAAGTTCTTACATGGCAGGCCAACACTCAAGCTGCAATTATCTAACCTTTTTTCCTAATCCTACATGTAGCAAATATCGATTGTCATTACCATTTACAAATCAACCGTAAAATTTCATATTTAAAAAAAAATAATAATAATAATAAAATCCACTAACCCAACGTTTCAACTTCCAGGTTCAAAACACAACTCTGCATTTAGATCGGGTTTGATGCTTGCATAAACCACATACCAACGGTAAGAAAGGCTTAAACCACATTTCCGATTGTGAGAATTGATAATCCCACAACCTAAACGGGCCTTAAATGCTTAATTAAACCACCAGACACCTATATCAATTATCAACAATGCCTGTGTAGCAAAGGGTAGGAATGGGCAAACTGAATTGTTATGAAAAAGTGCGAATAGGCAATATAAAATTACAAACAAAAACACAAGATTTACGTAGAAATCCAATATGGGAAAAAATTACTGAGAGGTGTGGAAAAATTCACTATATGGAATATGATTACAAGAGGTGCGGCTATATGATGTTATGATGCCCTGATATAAATCACATATATAATAAAACAGGTCTATGCTTCTCATAATATTAGTTCTATCACATATTGGGTCACTGTATTCTAACATGAATTAAGTCCATAAGATGGGAACATTAATATGTTAGAAGTGCGTAATATGATAGAATTGTTGAATCACATTTAATACGAAAGGAGATAAGGGAGCAAATTTTACAACGATTATGAACATATGGTGTAAACAAGACACTAGGAAGGTGCTTGAAAACTGTCTGCTTTATCAAGTCTAGAAGTCCCCGAGCTCGAAGATTCTCCCATTACATCAGAAGCAGCAGCAACTTGGTATGATTCCCTTTTTAAAGAAGTTGGCAACCCAGATATTTCCTAACAAGATTGCACAAAAAAATTCAAAGAGATCAGTAGCAAACATATTTGGGTTCTATCTTCTTTCACTTCCTTAATTTTATTTTTGTTGTCATTATTACTCTTTAAAGTTGGGGGTTGGTCAGAGTGCAAAACTTAATCTCATGCAAATCCTAGGAGAGAAGAATTCGGCCTAACAGATTGCTCAAAAATTAAATGAATTTAATTTCATCCGCTATTCAGGTGGGAAAGAGAGAAAGCCTACTTAGCAGATTGTACAAGGTAACTCGTCTAGAAGCATTACTTTTTAATTGGAAACACAAGTTCCCAACTGAAAGACACTATACTTACTACATATATTTCAACAAGTTTACAAGCAAATCATATACTAAAAAAGACCATTCTGGATGCAGTACATGGCTAAATTAAAACTGACAATAATAAGTACCTTCATCAAATGCAACCTCAAGTCACAAGGTCGAACTTTATTACCAATACAGGCCATAGCAAATTTTGAATATTGATACAGAACATCAGCTGCAGCTTGCTTTTTTTCTTCAATCTGCAGCACATACGACAAAAATTAATATCAAAAGAAGACGGTTCCGTATCAAGACACTTTAAGAACAACCGCAGATGCAAACTACCCATATTCATTATTGCTTCAAGACTTTGCTTTTACAAAGTAAAAAACACCTCTTCTAATATAATCCAAAATTGATGGCATTCGGTGAGAAAATTTCAGAAATGAAAAAGATTTTTTGAACGATGTTTACAAAGTGAAACGAAGTGTATGATCCTAACGAGCTGCAAAATGCAAGATAAAGCTTTGGCATCTTTATAAAGACCAAAGAACTTTATGAAACATTACACTGGTACCATTATTAATCCACTGAATATTTTCAACATTCAAGTCAGATCACCACCAAAAGAATGCAGAACACATTTTGAACCCTTCACATCATCCAAACCAAGACATTGGTGCATGTTCATTATTAATTTTTGAGAGTAGACAGAGTAAGTATTGCAAGCTGTGGAACACAGATGTTCTCAGTTTTTCATGAATTGAAATCAACTATTGAGTCAACAGCAAAATAAAAGTGCAGAGTTTGATATTTTGATCATCCAAGGGTAAAATGTCAAAAGCTTAATGTGCCAGATATGGTTCATTCAAACAGTAATTGCCGGATAGATATTATTAAGTGATGCACATGCTCGTGAGATTTCACTAACTGCCCTGTTAATATAAAAGCAACCAGACCCATGCCTCTCCAAAATGGCCTGTTTAATGTGAAGTACAGTATCGCGGGCTTGATTTTAGTTTTTCAGAATAAGATTTTATTTAGACTCTTAAGGTTAATATTCCTTTTAGGTATCCAACTAGAACATAGAATTAGCTTTTCCTAGTGATCTAAGCTACAGTAGTTTTGTGAAGTTTTATGAGAAACTAAATGAATAATTGAGAAAGGTATCGACTTGCTATTAAGAAATTTGGTTTATGATCTTTCTTTTGCTTTCTAAGAGGTGGAATACAGTAACCCATTTCAGTATAATGGTTATACAACAGTATGTTTTCTGTCGACTCATGCTACCATTCACGTATGATCCATACTAGATCATTTGAAGACCAACTATCATCCTACCTCCTCTACATTCAAACAGTAATTGCCGGATAGATATTATTAAGTGATGCACATGCTCGTGAGATTTCACTAACTGCCCTGTTAATATAAAAGCAACCAGACCCATGCCTCTCCAAAATGGCCTGTTTAATGTGAAGTACAGTATCGCGGGCTTGATTTTAGTTTTTCAGAATAAGATTTTATTTAGACTCTTAAGGTTAATATTCCTTTTAGGTATCCAACTAGAACATAGAATTAGCTTTTCCTAGTGATCTAAGCTACAGTAGTTTTGTGAAGTTTTATGAGAAACTAAATGAATAATTGAGAAAGGTATCGACTTGCTATTAAGAAATTTGGTTTATGATCTTTCTTTTGCTTTCTAAGAGGTGGAATACAGTAACCCATTTCAGTATAATGGTTATACAACAGTATGTTTTCTGTCGACTCATGCTACCATTCACGTATGATCCATACTAGATCATTTGAAGACCAACTATCATCCTACCTCCTCTACATTCAAACAGTAATTGCCGGATAGATATTATTAAGTGATGCACATGCTCGTGAGATTTCACTAACTGCCCTGTTAATATAAAAGCAACCAGACCCATGCCTCTCCAAAATGGCCTGTTTAATGTGAAGTACAGTATCGCGGGCTTGATTTTAGTTTTTCAGAATAAGATTTTATTTAGACTCTTAAGGTTAATATTCCTTTTAGGTATCCAACTAGAACATAGAATTAGCTTTTCCTAGTGATCTAAGCTACAGTAGTTTTGTGAAGTTTTATGAGAAACTAAATGAATAATTGAGAAAGGTATCGACTTGCTATTAAGAAATTTGGTTTATGATCTTTCTTTTGCTTTCTAAGAGGTGGAATACAGTAACCCATTTCAGTATAATGGTTATACAACAGTATGTTTTCTGTCGACTCATGCTACCATTCACGTATGATCCATACTAGATCATTTGAAGACCAACTATCATCCTACCTCCTCTACATTCTTGACAGCAACCCATCTTGGGTGTGAGATAGAGATGAGGATATCTCACCTTAAAAATGGATTAAAGCGATAAAAAACAGAAATTATTCGCTCCTTTTTCTTTTTGACAGATCAATCATTATAGAAAAATTCCTATGCCCTGAAAAATTATTGTTGTTTGTATTTATTTTCTACAGAAATAAAATTATTCTTTAACTTTTAGATATCTATACTGGTTTTCTAGATTATGGAGATTCCATTCACATGATTTGGACAGCAGTCAATCTAGGATTTGAAGGATTAGTTCTTAGTTTTCTTTTCAGTCCTAAATAATATTCTGATACAATTGATTGGTTGCTATTTTCGTTTCGCAGGTTTTAATAAATTTAATTGAATAAAGGGAGTTTCAGAATCATAGTCTATAATCAAAATTCAAGATTAACTGTTTTAAGCCATGATATGTTTGTGAGTCATAGTGGGAGCCATTAGTTTTATTTAGGATTGCTAACCTGTTTTTAAAGTAGAGTCTCAAGTTGAAGTAGAAATTTTCAAGCTCATGAAACATAAGACTAATAGATCTCCTTAGTTATTGACAATCGTGACTTTGCTCAGTTGTCACCCTTTGAAGTAAAATTGCATTCTATGCACTAAAGAAATGAAAACTAGAAATTATAACAATACCTTGGTATCATTTAAAAGGTTTGTGATCCTAAAAATCAACAGAAATGCCAATGGTTACAATCTAAAGATGGTCAAAATCGACTTCAAACAGAAAATAGTACCAATCAGTAAGGAATAATTAACAGATCAATAGTTATCAAATAATTCAAGTTTATCAGAGCATTTGACGCTTTCTGAGATTCTGTAATGCAGCTCATCTTATAGTGATGTCTGAGGGATGTAGGGGGCACTTCATATGTTTCTTACCTTCAATAGTTTTTCTTCTTAAATTTTCAGTGTGCTTAATTATTTCCCACTCCTTTAAACCAATTTGTTCGACACACAACATAAAAAATAATCAAATCCAGTCTATCTTACATTTAGAAACCTGACCAAACAGGGCTTTGAGTCCTTTGGGTTAAAGGAACTTTTTGTGTTATATTTTCCACAACAACTTCCAACTCCTCGTGAGCTGCAAGAAACCTTAACAGTTATTCCTCATTTTTATTTTTATTTTTTTTTGCTAAATCAAACCGTTTACACTTTAAAATCAGGCCTTGTATCCTGTTGTTTAGTCAAAGTTTTTCTTAGTACATAATGCTCTTACGGCATAGAAGTCATTAACAGATAGCCCTAGTGAAGTAAATGTTATTGATGGTAATAGCCCCAACTCATAAACAGGGATCAGCAAAGTATTCTACCTGCACTAGATGCCCTAGGATTCCAAAACTGAAAACTACTCTGTGCACGAACTAAATAGATAATAACCCCAAAATCATACCAAATTATATGAAGTCTATCAAAGAATGAATAAATTAATAAAACAGTCTTCACTGTAGCCTTCATAAAATGTTTATTACTTTCGAGATACCATTTTGGTTCACTGATACCAAATTGCAAACATAATCCGTTTGCATACACTACACTTTCCATGTTTATGAGCCAAAAGACTTGAACAATCACTGTACAATTTCTAGCAACGAACCAAAATGGACACTTTGATCTTTTGCCTTTTAGTATAAAAAATTGGACATAACTCCATGATTTTCTTTTCTTTTTTTATTATTAATTTCCTTTTACAATTTACTTAAGGTGAAGAGCACCTAGCCTACGCCTCCCCTAAATCCCTTCTGAAATTGGATAATGGATTATGCATCAAATTCCATCGAAGATTTAAACAGTAATGACAATATTCTGAAATTGTAGAAATATTAATCAACTCGGTAGGTTTTCGGTATAAAAAAAAAAATAATTGATGAATGTTTACCTCGTAATCTTTCATGGCTATAGACGCCAGTGCTGCTTCACAATGATCAAGCTTCTCGTCGAGGACCTCACCGTATGTGTTATTTATCGAAAAATTAAAGGATAAATTGCAGCAAACATCTCCAACCTTTACCTTCTTTTGCACTTACATCCCCAATCTTTTTTTGTTTGGGCAACTAGATTCTCAACCTTTGAAAAATTAGCTGAATACATACGTCCACATTGATGAGTTCCATCCAATTCTCGGCCAGCCAATCCCTTCGACCATCAAATTCAAATTATATAAATGGAGAATTGTATTTAAGACACCAAACGTTTTATTTAGTAGCAGACTTAACACAAACAAACATTTTATTTGTATCATAGTAAATATCAAATCTTTAAAAAATTCGCAGTTATGTCTAAAATGACAGTTTCTATCAATTTGACCTTAGAAACTGTTACTTGACCCTAAAAAATTTAATAATTTTTCCCAAATAAGCAAGGACATTTTGGATATAACATATTTTTCCTATTAAATCATAAATAAAAAAAATTCAAAAACAAAATACAAAACCACAACCCCTACCCTATTTCCCATTTTGAGTAATTAGCATAAAATATCATTACTTTTCAATGTTATTGTGCGAAACTCAAATTTTGTAATGTTTGCTATTTGATTGACTACACAATAAAGAAAATACAATTAGTTTCGAAGAATATGATCACATGATAGTTAATCAATAAGTAACGTGTTTTCCTTTAGGGATTGAAACTAATTTAAAATAATATGTTTTTCGATACATTTGTTACTTCGTGAGCACGTTGTATTTTACTAATGGTTTTTCAAGAAATATTAATTTTAATTTTGTATTACTTTAAAAGTAACAACAAACTATTTATAATAAATCGATCTACGATTAATTTTCTTTTGAAATAATAATTATAATGTTGTGTGACTTCAGGAGCAATAACATGATAAATTATTAGTTTAAAATTTATAAAAGAACATCAAAAGTAGTTAATCAGGTGAAAGGCACAAAAGAGTATTTAATAATATTCATAAATGTATATTTTGTAGCTATATAAAAAAATTTAAGCAAGGAGTACGTAAATTAAATTATGAATTAATATGTGTACATGCAAACGTTATTTAAAGCAGAGAAAAAGCTAAAGTTACGGGAGGGGGGTGAGGGGGGGGGGGGGTTAGGTTCGCGTGTATATATAATTAAAAAGAATTGGGTTAGCAAACAAGAAGCTAGGTGCACACAAATTGGTTGGAAGGAAAAAAAAAAAAAAACGTGTGTGATTGAGGCAGAAAAATGCAGAAAATTTGAACATGCAAATGCAATGATTGTGGCACAAATTTAGAGACGCAAATTGATTGTGGCACAAATTGAATTTGTAAGAGCCTGTTTGGGAGTGATTTTAAAAATTGATTTTTTAACCGTTATGAGAAAAGTGGGGTCACCTATGAAAGAATAAGTCAAATATGAAAGCTGAAATAGTGAAATAACGGTCAAAAAATCAATTTTTTGGATGAAAAAATCGCTTCCAAACAGGCCCTAAATAACGGATTGGTTTTGTAAAGAAAATGTACAAATTGAACTATCAATTTACGAATCAAGAGGCAAAATCAGTATAATGTGTGTATAAAAAAAAATTTACATGTCACCAAGCTGGTTTTGGTACACTTAATAAATGATTATCTTAAAAAAATTAGAACATTCACTAAATTTTGAAAAATTGAGTCATCAACTGATAACGTGTTATAAAAAAAGATAAAAGAGAATAAAAGTCAATAGGCTTGTATGTATTTTATTCAGAATTAATGCCTTGTATTTATAAGATCCAAAATAAGAGTCACAATTAAAATGAAATAGATCTTTTAGACTAAATAAGATTTATCTATGTATCATAATAATATTAAATAATTATTTTATTATTTTATAGCGGTCATTATATGTTGTAGGTATTTTTTGACATCAAATCGATTGTGCTTATTAAGAGTTTTCCGAAAAAGCCATCTTAAGTCATTTAACAAGGCCTTAAAAAAATCAAACTACTATTGAACATATTTGTATAATTTTTTAGAAATACTTTGTCTTGCTAAAAGAGCTTTTATAAAAAGTTGACAACAGATGACTATTTCGAGAAGTTCTTCTATAGGAAGTGACTAAGAAGCACGTATATGAATACATAATTTGAAAGCAATACGATAAAAGTACAACGACTTTTAAAAAAAATTAAGTTATCTGAGTATGTATTATAACATTTTGCATAATTTCATTAGTAAAAAAAAATTAAAATAAAATATTAAAGCATTTTATCTTAATCCTCCATTGTCTCAATTTCATTTTCTTTGACATCATCATCGGCTTTTTTATTATCATTAAAAATAATATTCTCAACTTTGGCTCATCTACTAATAAATTAGCAACCTCAAGCATATTCCAACACCGTCAAGATTATCAAATGAGTTTCCAACAATGTCATACATTTTGAATTTTTTTTTTTTGAAAGATATCTAATTTTCTTGATAAAAGATACAGAATATTGTTGTGAATGAAATTTTTCAGCTCGTTGTGGAATTATTTTAGTCCTTCTCATAGATTGCACAAAAGAGTGCATACCTCAATTTCTGTCAGTACAAGATAATGAAAAAGGCAGCACAAGAAGTTTTCAAGGCAATGCTCTGAAGCAATGATTCATATGAATTATGAGTAGCTATCAAGTCTATGAATCCATTTTATACCAGTTATCGTTAAAATCAAACTTAACAATAATATTCTTCTTCCCGCGTCTTCAACTACAGAATACGTTAAAAAAATTTAAAAAGTAAACAATAAAAAATAATAATAAATATGTATTTCATTCGTATTGGAGGGTATTTAAGAGTATTCAAGTTTGAATATGTATCTGATACGAGTACATAATAAATTTATAAATATCCATGCTTATTAGTGAAGCGGAACCAACAATTTTTTTACTAATTAAGTTATTTGGCCAACTTTTTCTAAAAATTCTTCTAATCAAACAAAGCATTTCTAGAAAACTATCAAAATGGGTTCAAAAGCAATTTCATAGTTTTAGTAGTAGATTTTGAATTGTAGAAATTACACAAAAGCTTACTTTTAAAGATCCAATTTCAAAAATAAGATATAATGTCTATTTATACAAAAATTAGATATTAATTCAAATATTATAAATCAATATTTTAATATTAATACTAATATTATAAATAAATATATACACATACACCCTACCCTATCCACGTCATTCAAACCCTAATATCATTCTCTCTCCCCATCCCTTCTAGGGTTCCACCTTCAATCTCACCAATTTTCAAACACAGTACATGGTGTTCTATCAATGATGTAGCAAGCAGCTAACTTGGTCTCACCACCTCAATACTAGATGCAGCCTCTACAGTAACCTCCGCAACAGTGGATGCAGCCACAACAATCACAATACCATATGTCGCCACCACAATAGCCGTCGGAGTACTACTATCAACAACGCTGCGCTTGTCGCTGCTCAACGATTGCTGACGGAAGTATAACCGTTGTGGTAGTTCTGTTGGTGGTGCAAGTCGTTGTGGTGGTGATCTGGTGCAGCATTGGTTGTTGACGGTATTGAAATGGTGGTGCTTATAGTGGTAGAGTTGTTTTTGTTGTAGATCTAATTTTTTTTTTTTTTTTGGGCAATCGTGACGGCAATTTTTTTGGATCTTGTGGTGGCAGTGATTTTGTTGAGGGCGACGAGATGGTGGTGTTGTTGGTAGTCTGGTCAGATGGTGGTAATGTTGGTAGTGGTAGTGGTGCAGCATTACGGTTTTTGTGAAGTCCAAGTCTGGTTGTGTGATGACATTATTTTGGTCGGTTTTTGTATTCCTGTGTTATGTGTTGCGATGTGGTAGTATTTTTTGCAATGAGTTGATTTGTTTTGACATGGTGGAGGTGGTGGTTCTGCGACGATGGTGATGGTGGTGGTGTCGGAGGCAGTGGTGAAATAGTAGTGGCAAGTGTTGATCGTGGTCACAAATTATTTGGTTGATTGTGATCATTAAATTGGTTAATATGTGGCCAATGAAAAAAGATAAATTGTAATAAAAAAATAATGTGTGACCTAAAAAATTGTTAATTTGTGACTAATAATTTTATAATTTGTGTTGTATAATAAGTTGTGGTTTATTGTATTTGTGATTTGTAACCGATAAATAAATTGTGATTTATAAATTTTTGACTTGTGATCGATGAACAATTTTTGACTTGTAAAATTTTTGAATTGTGACCATAAAATATTTTGTGATCGAAGAATAATATGTGACTAACTAAATTGTTAATTTATGATCAAATTACATAAATTTGTGACCTTAATATATTTAATTAAAAAATATACAATTAATTAATTAAATTATTAATAAAATTTAAAAAATATCTAATTTTTGAAATTTGAAACTTTTGTTATTAGTTTTGAAATGGGTGATACTTAATCTCTTAGTTATAAATTTTTCCCTTCTGATTTTTTATTTTTTTTTTAAAATAATCTTGCCAAAGGAGCTCTGTTGTGTCTATTTGCCCACCAACCACCTGTATCTTGGAGATATCATGCTCATTAATTCAATTGTTTGGTAGAGATTAAAATCGTATTTTCAATAATTTTTTGATAGAATTTGATGAAATATATGGTTAAAAAGTTGTAGGACCCATAAAATATGTTATTAAAATTGATTAATGACTTTAATTTAGAATAAAATCTAGATTTTAATTGATACCAAACATGGGTCTAATCTCTCTGCTTGAGAAGGTATAGGTAAGTGTCCTATATCAAAGTAATTATGTTCAGACTTGTTACGCTGCATCTTTAGATGTGCTAGAAAGCAAGTCAAAATAAATAAAAGTTATTTATTTTGCATAGGGCTGGACAAAACTCTCAAACCGAACCGATCGAATCGAACCCGAACCCGAACCCGACGGTTCTTCTCAAGTTAAATACCCGAATGGGTATTTGAATTAGGAACCGACGGGTATGGTTCGGTTCTCGGTTCTAGGCGAAAAATCGAATAAGAACCGAATCTCTGTAATTTTTTTAATTAATTTATTTTAAATAAGTAAATTATTTTATTTATTCTAAATAAATTTGTTAACTAGTTAATTTAGTTCAAACCATAAAATATGATTTTCCTATTTCTAATATTCAGTTCAAAATCGACTTAATCAAATTGATCTCAATTTTATCCAAATCTGTTATTCTACTGTAGTGTCATTTCTACAGGAGAAAATCGAATTAAAACTCTACAACATCTCTCTTAATTATTTTGAGCTCGCTATCTTTCTCTTTCTGTGATTTTAATAATCAAATTTATGAAAAACTTAGCAAAGAGAGACGTAAAACACATAATATTGAACTACGTTATTTTGTAAGAGCTAATATTAAATATATCATTAATTAAATTAACGTAACTTTGTATATATTAAAAAAATTAATTATAATACGGAACCGAATGGAACCGAACCGAACCGAACCGAATGGAACCCGAACGGTTCCGTAATTAAATTTGGACCCGACGGTTCCACTTACTAAATACCCGAAAATTTCGGGTCGGTTTGGTTCTCGTTAGAACTGAATCGAGCCATGTCCAGCCCTAATTTTGCATACATGATTTTCAAAGTAATTTTTTATTAACAAAACTTGCTTTCCTATGTAAGCAAAAGCATACATGCTCTTATAAGTGAGTTTTTCGATTTCATTTTTGGTGCAGAGATTGTAATTTCTAGAGCTATGTGATTTCGAAGATTTGGACTATTGTGGATGAGCAATCCCTACTTTCTCCAAGATTTGGGAAATTTACAACGGTCGTGCTTGACGTCCCTGGACGTGTGGTTTTATCCAATTTGCAATACCTCTACTTTAGTTTATGGGAACTGTAAATGTTGACAGTTGAAACTCCCTGTTTCTCTACCCTCGAGTCAAATTTATAGGGTTGTTATACTAAGTTGCATACTACAAAAGCTTGGAATGTTGGTCTTCATTTCGTAGAGATTTTTTCTTGAAGTCCAAGTATTTTTGATCCGTTTATCTTTCTCTGTATGTTTCGAAAAGAGCTAGAAAATGTGGAATTATTTAGTTGGCTATCATTAGCAAGTTGTCTCGATTGTTATTTTCTTATGTTATGACAGTGGGAGCTCAATTTTTGTGTTTGAAAGAACTTTTTGACAATGAAAAAATTACTATGTGCAATGCAGCGTACATGTCTTTTGGATGTCTCTATGACCGTATAACTGGGCTTCTTTTCTTTTTCTTTCTCATTATGCATGTCATCTCTTCTAGACTAATGCTTGTTTGGATTTCATTATTATTACGCATTCATCTTACTTGGTGACTATTTAATGTCATGTAGGAGCAGCGTTGGGGACGATGCTACATGTGAACATGTTAAGGATAACAAATATCACAAGCCTTCAGGCCGCCCCTTGTAAGTTCTTTAGGCCACGAGTGAGGCGACAGACCTGTGCAAGGTGGAGGAGGCTAAAACCTACATATGATATTTAGCACGTGGCAAAATTAAGGGTAAGGTGTTAACAAACATGACGCCGAAGCCGATGTTGAAGGCTTCCGTTAATGATGAGGCTGATGTGTGCTTGGAGGACGAAGACGAAGTAGATCGACTATATTTAACACTATTTAAAGATACTCTATTTAGCAATAGCAAAGATCATATATCAACGAGGCTCACGCATGTGTTGTATGCATGCTATCAACTGAATAAAGTTCACCCTTCCTCCTAGACAAGTACACCGGGCATTTCCTCGATAGGGAAAGAAAGTGATTGATCATAGCTTGGAAAAATGTTGCAGAGAAGTGGGGGAAAACAACTCTTATTAGATCACCAAGTTCGGGTAGTGATGCGACGTGTAGTTGGAATGAGATTTTATAATGCAGTTAGATAATGAGTTTTAATGGGTTCACAAAATAAACAGATAATAAGTACGAAGTAAATTTGCATAATTTTGACTTAAAATAATTTATAGGACACTTCTTGAAGAATTTAAGGGCATCTCCAAGATATTCTATTTTCAGAGAGTATTTATAAATTTAGGATTCTTTAAGCATTCTAACGTACTTTTTATATTTAATATTTAATTTTACTATACTTAAAAAATATCTATTGTTTTTCACTATCTTTTATTGTCACCAACTTCTCTTCAAGTCATTATATTATCTTCCTCCATTGAAGATTAAAAATACTAAAAGGGTCAGTTTGATTGTAAAGATGAAATTTAGGTGGAAAGAAAACGAATTTCAGGGAATTGAATTGCCCAGAAATTGTTTTACTGAGAATTGTCAATTATTATGTTTGATTGATATAATTTTCTACATGAAAAATGTTCAAATAAAAGTATTTTTTGATATTCGTTTGACTTTATTTTACATGAAAATTGTCAATTAAAGGGATAAAATTTATTGGTATTGGGGATAAAATTTATTTTTATTGAAAAAAAATCAAGAAAATCATCTATCTTTTGGTGTTCGTTTGACTTTGTTTTACATGAAAATTGTCAATTAAATTTTTTTTTTTTTTACAATTAAGAATAGAATTTCTTTTCATTGCAAAAAAAAAAAAAAAAAAAGCCAAAAAAAAAAAAAAAAAAAGCCAAAAAAAAAAAAAAAAAAAGCCAAAAAAAAAAAAAAAAAAAGCCAAAAAAAAAAAAAAAAAAAGCCAAAAAAAAAAAAAAAAAAAGCCAAAAAAAAAAAAAAAAAAAGCCAAAAAAAAAAAAAAAAAAAGCCAAAAAAAAAAAAAAAAAAATTTTTTTTTTTTGAAAAAAAAAAAAAAAAAAAAAAGGAACGATAGCCTAGAAAACATTGAAAACCAAGAAAAGTCCCCTTTTTGAAAAAACCAAGAAAATCAATTCCATGGGGAAAAAAATCTATCAAATAGCCAAAAAGTGGAAGTTAGAATTTGAATTCATTTTCCATGAAAAATTCATACCTATCAAACAGGCCCTAAATATATTTAATCATAGAAAGTGAATTTGACTTTACAAGTTCACTGGCTGAATTAAAATGTTAATTTAAAGAATCTTTTGAAATATAATTTTATGAATTGATTATTTTAAATAGAGAGCATCATATCTTTAAACAGTTTTTTTTATTTTTTTTGGAGATGGACATCAGGTTAGTTTTAACTTTTAATAATTGAGAGATCAAGCGTGAAATGATTAACAACATTGGTGACCAATAGGGTAATAAAAACACTTCATTAAAATTATGCACAAACTCAAGCGAAAATTTGTAAAATTAGCTCGAATTTATATATATAAAATTCAGATTTTTAACAAATTTTGATAAAATATATGATTAAAAAATTATGAATCTGAATTGTCAAAATATGACTTAAAATCTAAATTGAAAAATTCTACTTGTACATAATTATTGTACATAATGATATCCATAATGTGATGTGCCAATTATCCAATTATTAATGTACAAGTGTGAAATTTGAATTAAAAATTGAATCCAATGCTACGTATAATTATAAATACTATTATATAGACAATTATGTACATATAGTACATTCTATCTAAATTTTAGCCCCTTCGAATGGTATTGTTCAACCATCAATCATTTTCGGTAAGCTACAGAGAAACTCGTGAATCAGCGAGTAAGAAGCGAGTCAAATCATTGACATTCCAACTCGACTTCAAAAAGATAATAGACGCCCAAAATCCGAAACCCTTTGTCACTAATCACAGATTTCGATGCCCGCCGCTGTCGAATAGGAAATACTAAAACTTCAGAATAAAACGCGAGCGCGTAATCTTCGCCGTCCGATCATCGATTAGTTGTCTTCTCCAGAATCCCCGAGGCGGCAGCTAGGATCGATGGGAGACTACAACGACGCCTTACTGCGCAACCCAAACTCCGCCGTCCAGGCCAGTGCCAAGGCTCAGAATCGGAACAATGTTATGCAACTCAAGCTTGTACGTGCTATTCTTTTGTTTGTTATCTATTTCTTCAGTTTTTAATTACTTGAAATCGTGAGAATAATTTTGAATTGAGCATTTTTCTATGGGATTCGATAGGAGTCTGAGATATTTTTAATTGCTTTAGGGTTTCAATTTAGCTATGTGTGTTGAGGTCGTATGAAGGGTTATTATTGTATTTTTACGGTGTGAGTTGTGACGGCTTGATTTGTCACTATTATTTATTGTTGAGACCTTTGGTGATCTTGGATAGAACTTAATGATTTAACGGTGTTAGGTGTTTTGTTTTAAACTTGAACAGTCACATTCTCAGCTGCCAATAACACTGTTAGTGGCTGTTGTGTAAGGAATTCTGATGCTATATAGAATGTAGTTATGTTTGGTGGCTAAGATGATACACGGAGAACTTAGAAATTAATTACATCGTCTGGTGTTAATATCTTCTGTTTTTAACTTGTGGCAGCAAAATGTGTGTTTGACCTTGGCTTTGTCTAATGTGAATGAAATAGTTGAGTTGACATTCTGATTTCTTAAATTATTTAACTGTTATAGAAACATATTTGTGACTTACATTCCTTATATAAATATGAATTTTTGTTTATTTATTTATGCAGATTGGTCAAAGTCATTCTACTGGATTGACACCAAATCTTCTTAAACTATTTGAGGCCCGGCCCCCTTTGGAATATAAGCCAGCGCCAGAGAAAAGGAAATGCCTCCCATATACGGGTCTGTTATTGCTTTAAGCTTGCTGAAGGTTTCACTAAGTTGGAATATGTCAACTTAACGTATATTTACAGGATTTATTTTTGTCTGACAGGAATGGCACAGTTTGTTAGTCACTTTGCTGAGCCCGGTGATCCACAATATGCTCCGCCTATCCAAGAGGCTGAGACTCATGTAAGATTTTATTTGCCATAAACGTCATGTACCTTTTATTTTCACATAAAGAGTTTATAAACACATACTTTCTTGGTGAAGGTTTTCCTTTTGAGCTGTTGTCTTTACATATACACGAGAAAGATCTATTAAGTACCTGTACAAGCTGGATAAAACTTGTATTATTTGTCTTTTATTTCAGTAACTTGATTGTCCTTATTCCACATGTAGAAGGATTTCTTGTTGAGTTCACCCTATTAGCAAGATGATTTAAAATTTATTTTACATGAATATTACTTTTTTTTGTCTATATCCTGAGGTTTAACCCCCATTCCCCCCCTTTTTTCGATTTACGTGTAATATTATTTTATGAAAGATTGTGTAGTTGAAAATAAGAGAAAGAATAAAAAATGAAAGAGAAAGGGGGCCAAACGGGCTTAATATCTTTGTCATCTAAAGTGACTTGGATGCAGCAGCTCATGACTTCATGGTCTATAGATAACTGGCATGGCAGCTATATTTTTGGAAACTTTCTGGAAGAGTTAGTTGGCATATACAATTTATATAGCAATATTGATGCAGTTTATATTATGTTTAATTTCTTTCATTGTTTTGTTGGAAATTGAAGCTTATGTGTGGCTAATTATATAGTGAGGCCTTTATTTTTTAGATGAGAATTGCTCTTATGCATAACGGTAAACCTTTACTTGTAGTTGATTTATATTAACGGTTAAGACGGGTAAGTAAGAGTGTAATCCACGTCCTTGCATTTTTTGTGGTGGTAGTTTGCTTGGAAGCGCCACTACATACCCTCTGTTATTTTCAGTGCACATTATTATCTTCTTTTGGTATATTCAGGCGCAAAGAAGAGCTAGGATACACAAGATACGGCTAGAGGAGGGTGCAAAAAAAGCTGCTGAGGAGCTGGAGAAATGTGATTTGAGGCTTTTTATCTTCTATTTTACCAAAGATTTAAAAAAAAAAAAAAAGAACAAAGAAATTTGACTTTCTTGGATTAAGAAACTCGTATTATTATTTTCTATTGTGCAGATGACTCAAACAATGACCCAAATATTTCTGGAGACCCATACAAAACGTTGTTTGTAGCTAGACTTGTGAGTAATGTTTTCGTTTTGAAATTAGAATTTTAATTACTGTTTATTACTTCCATTGATTGACTTAATATGTTATCTTTGCAGAATTATGAGATGACAGAGAGCAGAATCAAAAGGGAGTTTGAGGCTTATGGGCCTATCAAGCGGGTAGGTATTATAGAGCAACCCAATAAGGGGCTCAGATTATATTGGCTTTTGGTTCGGTAAGAGTTTCACATGTGGTGGCTGTGTCCTATCTTCCTTTTTGTCCTTTCATAGAAATATGTTTTGTTATTTTTCATTTTGCCTTTTAAAATAGTAAGAAGGAACAATAAACTAAAATTTATCATTTTTTTTTCATATATAATTGTAATAATGATTTCAAATAATCCTACTTCTTAGTAACATATGACCATGTCATTTTTTCTCTCTGCATATTGTTTTTTTCAGCAATAATATTTTAAAATTTTACGTTTGGCTTACTTGGCATGATGGTGTAAGGTGTACTTAGCATGTTTAGGATAACAAGCAATCGAATAACAGTTGAATGGTCTCCTCAAGATTGGAATTATTTCCAGGTATTATTTGGTCTCACTGAATGCCTCTTATCCTTTTCTACGACTTGAATTTCTTGGACTCAAAACCCTCTTGAGGACTAGTTACTTTCAATAGTTTCTAGTTTGTCATTTACTTTTAGTACATGCTGCATTTCCAGCTACTAAAATTCTACTTTTGGATTTAAAGGCTATCAAAAATGTTTCAGCCATTTGGAAGGTATCCCAGTATTGACATGCTATTTATAGTTAATTTATTATTGTCTTAAAAATTCCCTGGTAAGGGGACATTAGTATATATGGCAACTGGTAAAATGGCACATGGTTTTTGCAACTCTAGCTGTGACAGTGATGCATCTCGCCTGGGAAGCTGTATGATCGAAAGGTGAGCACGGCTAATTAGGCATAGTGCCTGGCTGCCGTGCCAGTAGGCTTTTATTATACTTATATTAGTCTGAAACATTACTAAAGAAGTGTTATTTGATGCAAAGAGACCCTGCTCTGTAATTATATTTTACTGATCCTCTCCTATTGAGTTTCAGGTTCGTTTGGTTACAGATAAAGAAACAAATAAGCCTAGAGGCTATGCCTTCATCGAGTATATGCACACGCGTGATATGAAAGGTCCCTTCTTGTCTTCTTCCAGACTTCTTCGCTTCCTTTTGTTTCCCAGTTCTAGACCTATTTATTGTAATTATGCAGCTGGATACAAACAAGCTGATGGAAAGAAGATTGATAACAGAAGGGTTCTCGTGGACGTTGAACGTGGAAGAACTGTTCCTAATTGGCGACCTCGAAGGCTTGGTGGTGGGCTGGGAACAACTCGGGTTGGAGGGGAAGAAGTTAACCAAAGGTACAGAGGGAGTTAATAGCCATAATTGCCACATATTTAGACTTATATGCACAAGTATATTCCTAAGTTCCCTGTGATTATTTTATCATAATGTTACAAAATGATTGCTAGGTTAAAAATACGAGAGGGAGAACAACAGATGTTCAAATATTTCCATTCGAATTACGATAGCAGTGATATTTTCTAACTGACTCAGGTTTTTGTGAATTATAATATCAACCCACACATGCATTGAGTGTCCATGTCAAAATTGTGTTCGGATTTTAGAGAATTCTGTTGAAATATGAACCTAGCATCTGAGTAACATCATTTTTAGTCTTCTGTTCTGTTTCTACATTTTTCCTTTTCCTCAACATACTTAATCTTTTCTTTTCTGCCTTTCCTTCTGTCTATTTTTTTCTGCATAACCATACAGATCAATGCTTAGGGAGCAAAATGCTGTAATTGCTAAGTCACTATTCATGGTTCAATGATTTTCAATTCCTTGGTATGGTTTTCAAATTAATGATGTGATGTGAGAAGCTTGATTCTTGCTTTGGGCCACCTGTATGGTCTATAGATACTCAGTGCAACTGGTTCTGTGCTTGAAGAGAACTCAATTTGAGAGATTTGATTCTATCCTTTGTTATGATGGTATTGGGGATAAATTTTCATAACAGAAATGTTCTTTGTGTGAATTAAGTGTTCTGTTCTCCACTGGTTTAGTTTATGACAGCAAAGTGGCAGTTTTGACTGAGAAAATAAACAAAAAGGTATCCTCCAGAGATTGTCACTGCCTCTAAGTCAGTCAATGACTGCATGCTTGTCCATTGCTCCGGCATGGAAATTCAGTGGTGGTTGGTTTTAATACAAAGGCGGGTAACAAGATGGGATAGAATGTATCTCATTACATAAAAATGTGGGCAAGGGGAGGCACTGTCATTTGTCGTGGGATGATGTAAGTTTTAGATGCCTTAAGAGGAGTGCCAATGACAGCTCCTTTTCATAATATGCGATCAGCTAAATCTTTGCTTGTTATGTGCTTAAGTAGAAAGATGTACAAATATGATTGGTTAGTAATAAACTATCAAATATTGTGATCTGAGTCCTTGGGTTCTTCCCACTGTGCATGGTTAGGTTCTATGTTACCTGATTCTAGGTGAAAATGCTGCATGTGTAGAAGGAAGTTTCAAACACTGACAACAAAAAGCTGAGCGATATTCCCAAAAGATTTGCAGCAAAGAAAATTCCAAGCTAGACATTAAAATTAAAATAATTACTTATGTTGTGGTGTTTGATTGCCATTTTAAGTGTTCAGTTCCAAGGACACATGGTTTCCAGGGTTTATAATATCTTGTTGCCTGTTTGTTTAGGTCTCTTCATTTGCTGATCTGAATGTTGTGTTGTATTTTATTGTACCTTCTTGTCCAAATCTGATTGGAATTTTTGTGGATTTAATACTTGGGCTATGTTTGTCTCCCTTTAATACGAAACTCTTTAATTCTCGTACTCATTTTCAATCCCACATTTACACAATAAAATGTTTTGCTTGTTAACCCAAAATGTTTCCCTACTTTTTGACCACATTCTCCAAAAAATCACTATTCAAAACCCTCTTTCTCCTTCTTCCATTTTTTTTTTTTGCCCCCCCTTCAAAATAATGGCCATCAAACAAGGGCTTAATGTTGATGGCTTGATGCTTTGTATCAAAATAATTCTTTTGATACCTATGTCTGTTCTTTATACTTATTTGTGGTAAATGAGCTCGACTATTGTCATCGTACTTCGTGCATTTTTTATACTCCAATTGTTAAGTGCCTCTGCATTCTAAGCGACCAACCTTCCATTTTGGAATATAATATATCCTTAAATTATTTCACTTATCAATCGTACAGAGAGCAATTGCAGTCTAGAGGAACATCTAGGCCTGAGGAACCAAGGATACGAGATGACCGAGACAGGTAACTTGTCTGTTGATTTCTTGCATTTTTTGCTGCTTGTGTTAGCTGTCGTTAATAATTTTTTCCCAACATCTGAACTTGTTAGAGGAATGAAAGTCCCAAAAAGTGTTGTGGGTGGGTTCTATGATGTGGACCAAGTAGTCCAAATTGCTCTATCTTCTTTTAGGCACTTTGCGTCTTGCTTCTTAAGGACTGTAAAATATAAGGAAACATTAAGAGAGATGTTACGAAACCCAACACATAAATTTGTCATGGAATCTCTCAGGTTTTCGTCACTTTCTAATGAATAGAAGAGGATATGAATTTTATCATTTTTGTCACGTCTGCATGTTAGCATCTTATAAATTTTATTTTTGATTACTGATGCACATAGTTTCACCAACAGGGAGAAATCTCGTGAAAGGATAAGGGACAGGGAGAAATCCCGTGAAAGGTCTCATGAGATCTCTAATGAGAAACCAAGAGACCGTGATCGTAGAGATGATCGACATCACAGAGATCGTGATAGAAACAGGGACAGGGACAGATACCGGGAGAGAGATCGTGGTAATGATCGGGAACGTGACCATGACCGAGAGCTAACACGAGACCGCTATCGTGGTCGTGATCGGGAACGTCGTGGCCATGATCGTCAGAGTGAGAAGGAGAGGGACAGGGACAGGGACAGGGACAGGGATTACGAAGATGGTGATGACCATGATCGAGGGCGTTCCCGTGATGGAGATTATGACTATGATCATACTGATTCAAAACATGAGCGAGACCGTAATATGAAAGAGAAAAATGATGATCGCTCAGAAACAGAGGATAACCATGGGTGGCACGAACAGACTGAGTACAGATATGAACACCCAAAACGAGAAGCTGATCATGACCATGGGCACTATGAACGCCAAAGTCGAGGACACACTGCTAATTCAGAAGCCCCGGCAGTGTATGACCGCTATAAAGAAGCTGACCATGATCAAATGGATGAGGATGGTTATCGCTATGACCGAGATACATCTGAACCAAAATAACGAACCGTGATTACTGTCATTGGGACATGTACTGTCTTGTGGAGTAAGAATACTAAATGCTGTTCAAGCTCTGAACTTCCTATGCTTCATGAATTTTTTACTTGTCCTTTCTCAGTGCTATCTTATTCTCACTTTTGAGTTTTTTCGTGGTCACATTTTCCTTGAAGACGTACTTCTGGTGGTATGATCTAGTTAGAGGCGTGGAGGTCATTTTCGTTATGTTTTGATAATGTTCCACATGTTTATCTATGTTATTTGACCTATCGCTGTGCTCGAGAACATAATTCCCTTGTGTTGTTGGCTTGTGATCAGTGTCATATTACTGAAATTCGAAGTGAATCTGAACCGCATTTGCCAAATTTCCTGTATTTGTCTGAATGACATGATCTTGGACAGTATGTAACTCGAGTTTGTCAAGTGCTTGATTTGGCAACTTTAATCATTATCTGCTCGTTCTTCTACTGGTTTGCTGACTATGATTGATGCTACGTTAATAGATAGGGCTATTGGGAGGGAAAATCCTCCTGTTGTGGGGATTGAATTACTGCAATTAAAATGCGTTAGCAGTCACTATTATCAATGGTTGTTGAGGAATGTTGGTATTACTGCGTGGCTGCATTGAAAGTGTCTTTTGATGATTATTTACGAGTGATTGCATGTTATTTTACCCCTTTATAATATGTAAAATTAGTAAAATGAGTAATTGGGTTCATATTCAATTTCATCGTTAGCACTTAAGTTAACAAAATTCAGTTTTCTTCGCATATGGGTATTCAGATCTCGTAAACCCCCACCCTGATCCGTGTCATACGAGGGAGCACACTACGGAAGTAGGGTAGATAAAGTGGTAAGGGAGTTGTAACGCAATGAGGGCAGGGGCAGGATGCATGAGACTGGGAATAGTGGATATAAGTGGTCCACGTTGAAGTGATTAACTTTTAAAGCATATTTGCTGAGTGTTTATTAGCGTTTTAAATTATAAATAGATAAAATGAGTGGTTAATAAGTGGATAATACTTGTAAATTTTTCGAAAGGTGAGTGCCATTTATAACCATGAGCCAAACATAAGCTTGCTAACATCTTACTGGTTTAGGCACTTAACAAGTACCTCACTTCTGGACAGAATTTTGCTGGTAATTCATTCAAGCGGTTAGGTGTTGAGTTGGTCTTTAATAGTGTGGTTAGCTTGATAATTAGCCTCTTTTGGTTTAGTTAAATATAAGATTTTTAGAAGATTTTGATAAAAGTTGATAAGATATATGGTTGAAAAGTTTATAAAAACTGTAAGTCTGTAGAAAATATATCCTAGAAAATGGGGGCCAAACTTAATAAGCATTTTGTTGACTTGGTCATGTTAATTTCAGGAACCATCTGAGCATAACGTGGTGCACGCTATCTTTGAATGAGTACGACTATCTTAAGTGGGATGAAATTTAAACCAAAAACATGCAAGTTCACTACTTAACACTAGTGTTTCATCCTGATGAATCTCATCAAGTGTATCACAAATCGTACACCACAATTCATGTTGTAGATTACCAATATCAGAGCTCTGGATACGAAAGAGAGAGATTTGTTTCATAATCTAATTTGGGGCAGATAAATTTATTGATTCTTGCTATGCTTATATAGTATGGTTAACAGAGTTCATACAGGTGGGTTACTTGACAAAATCTGGTTGAAAGAATGAAAAAAAAAAAAAAATTGGACCACACACATGCTACCAAAAAATCTGTAAAACAAAACTTGTGCGCTTAGCGTTTTTCAAATTTGCATGCGTAAACATCCTCTGAAACAAATCTTATTTTCTGCACAACGTCACCTCCACACAATCCGCATAACTATTAGGATCCGACAAAAGAGAAGTAAAAACTAAAAGGCAGATGAACGAGGACAAGCATCTTTAATGGATCAAATTTTCTACAAATTAGTACCCAAGCCCAAATTCAGAACAGCATTTTGCTTTCCCGAGGTAAGTTCGTTCCAGACACACAGAAAAGAAAAAGAAAAGGAAAAAAACCACATAAAGCATTAATCCATATTTGAATCAGAAACTACGATATAGCAATATTAAACCTAGGGCATTCATTTGGGATGATAAATTTGAGCTATGAATGCTGCAGGTCGATATCTTCAAGGCTAAAAGGTGTCTTCACTCAGGAAGTACTTGAACGTTGCAACAAGAGTAGATTAAAGGTACACAAGGCTATTTACATAAGGTATGTATCTCGTGTCACGACCTGTAGATGTCATGCCCAGTGCTTTAGTTTCTTTTGTGAGCAAGTCATAAACATATAGATTTCCGGGCTGCTGAACCAACAGCTTGTTACCAGCAGCAGCAACCACATTCAGTTCAGATACAAGCCCACCAATCACTTTCTTGTCAAGAACTACCCTGTCTCTCTCTTCCCACATCCTGGCACGGGTGCCCATTTGCATAGTATTACTGTGGGTATTAGCCAATACTTGAACCATTATCGAGTGCCCAATAGCATGAGCTGAACAAAGCTTTCCATTCATCATTCCTAAAACACCATTTTCTGAATGATAGCTTCGGAGCATTTGTGATCTATCTTTCGTCAGATCATAAGCTAGAAGACCCCTTGATTTCCAGTAAACAACCCCATTCACATGAACCCCTGATTTTGTTTCCACGGAATATGAAGTAAAACAAATCTCTCCGGAAACTTTCCAGGATCCTTCTTTGGAGGAGTATATCTCAAATTCAGTGGCATCGTCAAAGTCAGCAGATGGAAAGGCACAAACAAGCTTGTAATCGACCTCAAAGTTGAGCAGGGATGGTTCAAATATGAGCACGACTGAAGGATGTAACCCATGATCAGCATTTGGTTCTGGGAGTTTCTTCCACTGCTGGGTAACAGGATTGCAAATGTAGTAGGCTTTATTCCCAGTTTTAGATTGGCAGCAAAGCAGCCCATTGGATGAAGACAAAATGTCAATTGGTTCAGGCAAAAATCTCAAAGAGGGATCAGGTACACCACAAGCTATTGGGTCGTCGGAGATGAATGATGGTAGTTCTCCAGGTACTTGGCTAAAGAAACCGAAGGTCGAACCACAACAAATTGACTGATTATGGGCAAAGAATGGAGTCGATATCTGAAGTTTCCAGTCTCTACACACACAGAGAAACCTGAAAAGTGATTTTGCAGGTAGGAAAGGAAGGGCATGTTCCCTTATGATTTGGCTGAGGTCCATATACATCTTATTGTTCAGCATACCAAGGAATTTGTCCAGCCTTCTCCCACGATCCATTTATTTGTAATTAGATAAGTTCTATTTGATACTGCAGCCACAAATAAAAATTTCGTACAGCAGCTGATTAATAAAATAGAGTGTAGAGAGAAATCATGATAGAGGAAAAAAGTCCATTTTAGTTTGTGATTCTAAAGCTATTATTTTACCTGTCTATGTAGAATATATAGTTACCTATTTTAGTATTAGCAGGTAGCTACTCTGATATAAAGTTCCAGCACACGAGGAAATAGAGTTAATTAAATCATTGCGTACTGAAATTTACCTTAGATTACCACTTGCTCACTGAACCAAAAATGATTACCCATTACTCATTCATTTATTCAAATGTTTACCCATTCATCACTCGTTTAAATTCTTTGCCAAAATTGACGGAAAACTCCATGTGTGCAAACGGAAAGCTGACTCGGCACATTAATACCATTAATTTATTCACTTGGATTAAGAATAAATTTAAAATTAAAAACCCCAAATTACAAACACAAAATCCCTATATTTAAATAAAATTAAAATCCCCCAAATTGAACGAATATCATTCACCAGTGATAAATAAGAACAAATTTAAGAACAAGAATGTGTGAAGATCCGTCTATTGCAATCGGGGGTTTTTTAAATAAAAAATAAAACAGAAGTTGGGGTTTTAAATTTTATTTAAACATTTTGTATTTGTAATTTGGGGTTTTTAAGTTTTATTTTATTCTTAATCCAAGTGAATAAATTAATGGTATAAATGAGCCGAGTCAGCTTTCCGTTTGCACACGTGGAGTTTTCCGTCAATTTTGGCAAAGAATTTAAACGGAGTGATGAATGGATAAACATTTGAATAAATGAGTGAGCAATGGATAACATTTTTTTAGTTCAGTGAGCAAGTGGTAACCCAAGGTAAAATTCAGTAATCAATGATTTAATTAACTCCAAAGAAATAATTTACTTTTTAAGACCGTGTGAAGAATTACAGTTAAAAGTCATTTTTCCTCTGTCTAGTATAACTTCATGTAAATTGCTCCAATGTATCATTTAACTGCTGGCTGTGAAAATCGAACACTCCTACTAGGGCGCTATGTGTCTTTATCCGACATGTCTTGTTCCTTGTAGGACACTGTCACGCCTCATATACATGGGTCCAGCAAGCCACATAAGGTATCCTATTTTAAACATATTTTTTAAATTTCTAGTGCTTGAGGGTTACATTCCTTGAGCAAGTGTTTGACAAGCCATGTGTTGTGGAGCAAAATAATCTGTCAAATGAGCTATTTTGATATAGTGTCTAATGGAGCAATAAACAAACAATATTGTGGGTTTTGGGCTTTCATGACCAGAATTCTGGATCCGTTATTTTAAGATAGGAAAAATTGATAAAATATGCTTGCTTAATTAACAATATAATGCATTTCGGTTCAACTACCTGTTCCACCAATCTGCTCAGTCCATTAATGATCTGTGCACTACTTTTAAATATACAAAACAGGCTATTTAAGGCCACAAGGAACAATCATTTCAAAGGACTTGTAAAAAAATGGACATGGTTGATATAAATCAAGATCAAAGCACATAACAGAACTTTATTCGAATAAATAAGAATGTATACGGAGATGACCATGCACATCAAGAAATGTATGTATCGAGGTAATTGAATGAATGACTACCCACGCAGTAACTTTAACTTACTCTTAACTTCCTGATTCTTTATTCATAAAAGTTACTTTTGTGAATGCAGTTTAATCACCATTTCTATATCTTCACAATTTCCTCTGCCAACAATTACATATGGTCAAAAATATTACGTATTTCACAAAATGAATAACATGTTTCAAAACTTGAATTTAACTTGAGAACTCTTACAAAAAGTTCAAAGAAAAAAAATGATGCAATCAATTCATTGGGACTATCACAACTATCTCCAAGTTGGCTTTGTTAGCAAAGCTGACAAATGTCACCAAAAATAATTTTACTACGGTGATATTGTAGTAGAATATAACTCAACCACATATATAACACAAAATGCAATTGCCTGCCAAAGCCCATGGCAAAGACCTAAGTAGCCTATGCCCTGTAGACTTAATTTATCATTAATATTTCATTTTTAATTATTGTCCTTTAAATTTAGTGCATCAGCATATTAGAGTGGTTTGAATCAAATGGATAACTACTGCTAAGTTAAAAGATAAACTCCACATCACATTTTGTGCTTATTAGAACTATATGCACGAAATGGGTATTAAGATGAACATATTATCACACGAGAATTAAAAAAAAAAAAATGAGGATATACAAAATCATGTAGTGGTGGCACTAACTGAACACGAATTAAGTGAAGGACAAGTTAGACGCTTTGAGCATGTCTTGCGTGTACCTAAAGAAAATCCAATTCACAAAAGAAATGTGATCGAAGTAGAATAGGTTTGAAGAGGACAAGGTAAACCAAATTAATGACTCCAGGTAGTTCAAAATTGTTTGATTTCTTTAGACGTTTCAGGAGTTGTAGTGTTAACATTATTGACAATAAGTCTCGTCTTGTTGTATCTTCTTCTTGTAGATAAGTATCAAGAATCAACAAAATATGCACCCATCATATGCTACTATGCTAGAGATAGCTACAATACACATCAAAAACATCATTAGTAATTTCTAAATAAGTTAAGATACATCATAATACTAACAAAACACCAATCAATTGGATTTCAAGTAATGGTTAGAATGTGACACAAGCTCATGGATTGCATCTATCAAACAAAAAGAATTGACGGCAGACAGATGGTTATCCCTTCATTTCCTAGTTTTCTCTGCTTCAAAAATTGAACCCACGGGAAGATGCATTTTCATCATCTCACATATTAGTGGCGATGCAGATGTGGGGAAAGATTTCACTTGGAAATAGAGGAATGATGTTCTATAGTAGAGTACAAGGAGAGAGTAGGTTAAATTGTTAATTCCTCCATGAGTGCACACATCAGCAGCCACCTCTATGCTCTGAGGTGTGCACCTTAGTAAGTCGAAGCATAAGCCTTCAAAAAAACAAAAAAGGCACTCAAGCCGTAAGCTTTGAGAACTTAATGAAGGCCTCATTTGAGGCATACACCTCTTGCATTTTATAAAAGAATGGTAATAAACTACAAATCTGTTACATGATCACTAATTTGACAATTTATTATTTACTACTTTATCAATCTATTTTATGTTTATTTCCAAGTTAAACTTGTAACTTTGGTAAATTGTTTTATTATAAACTTTCATGATATTTTTTCACTTATTACAGGCATAATTATTATGTTTCTTACATTTTTTAAAAGGTATTTAATAGGTTTGTGTTGACTGTTGAGGCATACATATCAAAATACGCCTTTCACTTTGTAAAGAAGTTGGATTCTTAGCCAAGCACCCACTTGCTTGGTAGTGACTGAGGCTTTCTAAACACTGGACTTGTGAGCATTTAAGGACGTGAAAAAAGGATTAGAGCATGTTCAACACGTTTAAAAGTAATCAAACTTACATTTTAGTGACGTATTTGGTTAGCATGATTTCCCAAAGCATGTTTCGCAAGGTTTAAAAAGTTCATCCAGCCCAGCAGATCCATTGTTTATGCGGCAGTGCAATGTAGCTGTAAGTGAAAATGTAGGTTTTAAAATAAACAATTTCCTTTTTGATAAAAATAAATGCACAATCCAATACACTTTACTTACTTTGTTGAGATAATTCTATATAATTTCATTATTAGATATTTTAACAACATGTCTACTGCAAAACCCATTTCCCCTTGCAAAGTTGGTATAAATAGAAAATTCCTTCTCTCTATATCAAGCAAAATTTCTCTCCAATTCCATAATAACCAAACCATGGGTTAGACAACCCAAAATATGAAAAAGAACAGCAAACAAAACCCTAGGTGGAGCATGAGAATTCAAGCAAAGACAACCCAAAATATGAAAAAGAACAGCAAACAAAACCCTAGGTGGAGCATGAGAATTCAAACAAGTAAACATTGAACTAAAATATGAAAAATTTCAACAAATTCGTAAAAATAAAAATAAAAGAAATCTTTATATGCACGCAATCATATAATACAAAAATCATAGCCTTCGTACAAGAAAAGAGAAAAGATGAATTTTGTGATATTTTGAGAGATTTTTTTTATTATTGATTGGAATTAGTACCGATCAGCGATAAATTAATCGGATTAAAAGACACTTAAAATAGAGGAGAAATATTCATACCTAGTTGATTTCGATTATTGATCGAGACTACAGGAAGAGGATAGTCGAGTTTCTTGAATAAATGGTTGATTTTACTTTAGGTATTTTTTTTAATATTTTCTCTATCATTTATAACCTTTTCACTCTCTTAACGTGGTGGGTGGAAATAGGGCTTGAAGCTTATTTGAGCGGTTATGAACTTAGGGCGCAGTGATCATGAAGAGAGAAAGCCAGTCCCACCTTTGAGTGAGTAAATAAAAAATGACGATTAAAATAGTAAAATAATGGTCAAAAATTAATTTTTTTGAGATAAAAAATTACTATCAAACGAGAGCTTAAGTATTTCTATTTAATAAACTTAAAAATATATTTTAATAATCATCGAATTTTGTCAAGTGTTACTACTTCATAACTGAACTTGAAATATATCTCAATGGATACTGAACCATGCACCGTGCTATTTTTCATATTAGACATAATTCAATTGAACTAAATTAGACAATTTTACATCTTAATTATTAATTAAATCATATCCAAATACACATTAGTCAGCACAACTATGAATATAAAATCATTAAATTGGGTAAGGTGTTGAACAATTAGTGTTAAATCATATTCAACGATTCTCCATTACAATTGAACAGACAATTAAATCTGAATTTTAATTCAAACTTGCACATTTCATTTCCTTCTACTAATAATTTTCTCAAATTTTGCCTAAATTCAAATCAGATTATCCAAATTCTTTTATTTTTTTTGTGATCTTTTTCTATGTTTTTATTGGTAATTATGTTATTTTGTTCTAATAATTATCAGACTCCCTTAAAGTAATTCGCTAATATTTGAATGGAGTAGAAGTATTGAATGATTCACAAAAAGTCACAACATCTAGGTATTATTTTATTTTATTCTTTTGTTCATTTACTATTATTAGTTATTTTATATCATTTAACTATAATCAATGAATTCATGTACTATATTTTTATATTTATGAAGAGAATGAATCGTGTATTATAATTGTAAATGGATGCCACTATTATTGATTAAGAGTTTAAAATATTTATATCATGTTGTTGCATTATAATGATTATAATTATATAATTTTGATTTATAAATTTTTTTAATAATACAACTAATGTTTTAGCGTGAATTTTTATACTAATATTTATAATTTAACTTATTTGATATATATTAATTTTTTCATTATTAAACCGTAGTTTTAAACCGAACCAAACCGAAAAAAAAATGGTTTGAATTGGTTGGATTTAGAAATTGAACCGGCTTGTTTTGGTTTGGAAAAATTTCAAATCGCTTTTAATGGTTTTGTTTGAAAATTTGTCTCAAACCGCTCAAATCGAACCGTATTTATCCCTAAATAATATGGTGTATAATTCAATAACCATTGAGATACATTTTTAAAATGTCAAAAGCTATTTTTAAGATAAAAAATTTATTTTTGAATATATTTGAAAAAAAAATGAAAATACTTTATCAAACTAGAAATGTTTTTAATGCAAAATGACATAAGTAAACTCTTCTGCGAGAAATAGAAGTCAATTGACCTTATGTCAACTTTATATAATTAACTTCGGGGAAGAGTTCAGAAATCATGTTTTAACTATGCGTAATTCAAAATTCAGGTTACAAGTTTTATTAGTGCAAAAATTAGGTTTTAACTAATTAATTTAAAATATTTATTAAATAATGATAATAAAGTCACAATTATATTATTAATGGTTACAAATTCACAATTATAGGTCACTGATTTATTTATTGGTGTGTATCATCAAATTAATTGGTCACAGATATTTTTGATGTCACAAATCAAAATTTTGATTAGTCACAGATTATTTAGAAGTCACATATCAAGAAATTTGGTCACAGATCAATAAATTATAGGTCCCAAATTGTCACAAATCCAAAAAAGTATAGGTCACAGGTAACATATTTTTAAATTTAATGGTCACATATTATTTTTTTAGTCACAAAATGATCAAATTTTTAGGCCATTGATTAATAATCACCACATTACTTGGTCCCAATCACTACCTCGGCCACGACAATACCACCACCAAGTCACGCTGGTTGCAATGTCGTTCTCACCAAATCGTGCATTTTTACTCACAGTAGCGATAGAGAGAAGGAAAGAGGTGGAACACCACCAACCACCACCACCACCACCACCAAGGCAAATCTGCAGCGGTGTTTCTCATCGGACCGATGACAGCGAACATGGAGAAGGAAGATGAGAGATTAACAACCACTGCCACGACTTCCACAACCACCACCACCGCCAACCAACATCACAACCACCATCACCTAAAAACCAACAACAAATCAGATCACACAATCAACGCCACCACTACAGCCACCGCCAAGATCTGAAAATACAACCAACAAAATCTCAAACACACCAACAATACCTCGAAATCACAACCTGCAGATTGAAGCTAGAGCCGGTCCTGTGTAGTTTCAGTACGCCTAAACTAGCAGTAGTGCAGCAAGTCGTGTGCAGCTGCCGTTCAAGCGTGACGATGCTGCTGCCACTGCAAGAGTCATTGCATCGGTCATATGCAGCTGCCTGCCGTCGCCCAAACCAGCACGACCGTTGAGGCTGGAGTCGGAGCCTCCTTTCTTGTACTTGTCACCGGAGCCAGCGAAGAGAGGGAAAAGGAAGGCCAACACTGATGAGGAATGAAATTGGCGGGCGACGACAATGAGATGAATCCAAATGGGAGGAGGAAGAGAGGGTGGCGAGAGAGAGACGAGATATGAGAATTGAAAAATGATTTAGGATTTGTTTGGGTAGAATATATAGTACCTGATTTATGTAATATCTGATTTTAGAATTGTGATTTTAAAACACTGGCTTTGGTGTAATTTCCACTTAACCTCGAGCACCAATCAATCCCGAGGGTCGGGCTACAATTTATTGTGTAAAGAAACCATCCTATTATCGGATTGGTGACCAATCCTCCTGCAATTGGAGCTGTCTCGACTGCACTATTAGTCTATTACGACTTTTGCCGCCTTTTTTTGCCATTGCATGCAATGGTTGATAAGGAGGGAATTTGCTTTTGTTATTGACATAGTAATTACTTTGGGTTCTTAATAGTGGTTGTGTCGAGGGAGGTGGAGATATAGGCAACATTTTAAGAGGATTAAGAGTGGCAACCTAGGCTTGAAGAAGTGAAGTTTTTGAAAGTAATCAATTCATATTATGCGGGTGATGCACCATTGCAACTTCATTAACCCCCCCCCGCCCCTTCCCCGGCCCCTCTCTTTTTTCCTCTCTCCCGCACTAGGTGAAGGAAGGTTTTTTTTGTCTCGGTGTGTGTGTGGAATAAAGCATTCGACTAGTCTATAAAGAATTCAGCCCATAACCTTGAAAATTGATGTCAAATGACCACATTGCCTAAAATTGATGGAAAGCTTGAAGAAACATTCAAGAATTCTCCACAAGTTCATCATAGGACATGTATATACATATGTAAATGTAAGAAATACTTGGTTGATGATTATCTTCTTTTCCTTTTTTAATTCTTGTGAAATGTTGTATATTAGCCTTGATAATTCTGAAACAATCTATGGTAGTAACTTAGTGCAATGTGGCCATGCCTGTGTGTGTACTCATGATTGAAGATGACTGATTCTTCAAAGAAACTTAGGACAGTGACCCCATCATCAATTTAGATACTCCAAGCCAATACGATCATTTTGACTAGTCAAGTCTTCCGCAGCAGATATATTCCTCGAATCAAGTGAGTCAACAATACATAAGCAACAAATCTAGGCACGCAACTTATTATGCTGTAACCAGTCAAAAAACACAAAAAAATATGCACATTTTTCACGAACGAAAAGGCAGGTCAACCATAAAGCTACCGACTAAAGGGACCATCCAAAAGAAGGAAAATGGAAAAATGTCAAAGCCAATATAACGAATCCAAGTTCAAATGACTTGAAAAGCTAACATTTTCAACCCCGAGCTAGCTTCTTGATTACAGCAGCCATGTACTTACCCTGATGCTCTGCCAGGGCCAGCTCCATTTCACTTGCTTCTCTTGTGCCATCCCCAGCAAAGACTCCAGCACCATATGGAGAACCCCCTCTAATGGAATCCATTTTGAACATACCAGCGCCAAAAGTATACCCAATGGGCACAAATAGCATCCCATGATGAGCTAGCTGAGTGATTGCTGTCCATCTGCAACACAAACAAAAGGGATATATTTACATTTGGGACAAAGCAAATGCTGTTTGAAAGGGCACTCATGATCTCAACGAATGACAACCTCAAAACCCGAGAAAGATGAATGGCCAAAGCATTTGGAAACGGGGTATGCTTAACACATATAGTATGATAGCATCCTCTATAATTTGTTTGAAGATGCTACCAGCGCCAAAAGTGGTGCAGTTTGTAATTTTTAGGGTGGTATGTGGATATAAACATATCCAAAACTGTGTCATCTGTCCTTAAAAGTAAGAAATATCCAAGTAATTCTCAACGTATACAAAATTTCCACTCGTTACAACTACCCAGCCACGCTAATGTTTATAGAAGATTCTGGAGAAACAGAAATCAGGGCATAAATGATCAAGACAAGCTAGCACATAATCTTTATTCATCTCTCTTCAAGTAATTGAGATTCTGAAAGGGGGCCTTTTATGGATGATCATGATAATAGAGTTAGTGATCCAGTACTGCAGCTTTCAAGGCATCAAACCAGAAACTTTCCCGAAACCAAAAACGATAATAATATGAGCTAGCCTCTTGCTCACAGCAATGATTACCAACATTGTGATTCTATAATTTTAAATCAATCTCCAGACAAAGATCTTCATTATGTCACTTCTTTCCCACATACAAAAACTCTATGGAATAGGGCCAATTGATGGACTCAGCATATGGGAGGGTTCCGGAATTGATAGAGTCAAGTCATAAATGGCATTCAAATCGTCAAATCATTATCTTATTTCTAACTTGAATCACTGAGTGAAGAAACAAAAAGAGTCCTTGTTTTCCAAGTTTTTTAGAAGATAAGATCTTGTGTATGTAATTTTGTAAATTGAAAGTATATTGATAATTACTAACTTATGAGACCAGTTTCTTGTTTCCCCTTCCTGCCTTCCTCTTCTTCCAAAACTACTCTCCATTTCTTTTCCCAATTTCTTAGTGAAATATAAAACGCAGAGGCTTTTGACTAGTCAGGATAGACATATCATCCCATGAAAGGCGTACCGTGCATCTTGGAGATGAGCAAAACTCGATTGAAGATGGGAATGTTAGCAATACTAAATGATCCAGGCTTTGAAAGTGAGTAAGGCAAAGTAAAGGATCGACATGTCAAAAGAGGGAAGTCCACAAAAAATTTCCATCATAACTGGGAGAGGGCATTTAAGGTTATTAAACTAATTAATGAGATTCTAAAGATAAATGATGATTTATGAATAGAGGATGACTGCTTTTGTACTTATTTACTAGAATAAAGAAGATATTTATAATCATAAAAAGTACAAAGTTGTTAAGCTTACAAGTCTCCTAGAAGAAATTTGTCATTAGTGATGAGAATCTGTTATAGAAGTCATTTACTTAAGAAATTAATGAAATGCAGGGAAAAGAACCAAAATTTGCATACAATGTTTACTGATTTAGGAAATGCGTGTGATAGGGAGTGATAAGAAGTTTTATGGTGAATGTCATGCCACAAATTAAAAGAATGACAATTTACATAGGTGGATTGTTTTAAAATGCTATTCCAGGCTCAAGTCTTGAGGCACGCCACACGAGGCTTTCTTTGAATGCCTAGAGTGTCATTCTTGAGGTTTTACGCCTTGATACAAAAGAGGAAGGGAAAAAATAATGCACTATTATATATATATTTTTTTGAAAAGTAATCAAATAATTTTATTAATCAATGGATAATACATGGGAGGTGTATTATCAATTTAAACAAGAAAGAAACGACATAAATAATTGGCAGAAACTAATAGTGATGAAAATAGTGTAAGGATAAAATATGAAAATGACTCTATATTATTCTATTAGTAGAGGTGATATGGGACTTCTAGGTTGATTCCACATCTAGCAGAAGTACATTACAATTCTTTCATGTGAATACTAAGAGCCTGTTTGATAACCATTATTGTAAAAAATAATAATAATAATAATAGAGTTTTAAATAGTGATTTTTAGGAAAATGCGCGTTTAAAAAGTGGAAAAAAAAATTTGATATACACGTAGAATATTTTATTGTGTGAATATGAATGGAAATAATTTTATTTCTCAAAGCTCTTCTTGTAACTGTGACAGCAATACATCGATCTTTGTTTCCAAAAGATTAACTCGATCTTCTAATTGTTTTTCTTCCTCAGATGTAATGTCCCAAGGCCACAATGGTTGCTCTGATACCATTTTAATAGAACCCCAACTGTTAAAGCTGGCTGGTTTAATGCAAAGATGAAAACTGAAATAAAAATGAGTAATTTTATTGAAATGAACGTAAGAAAGGACTCCAAATAATCCAGAACATTCGAGAGGCTCGAGACTCTCCCACTAGACTCAGCATACACGTGAATGAATGAATATCCCAACTCCCCCTTACATTTATAGACAATCTATCTATTACCCTTTTACCCCTTTTGCTAACAACCTATGGAATACTCTAGAATTGTTGATGGCTTGGGCTGCAATTTGATTGGATGTCTATCATTACCCTCGACTCGAAATCCACCTTGTCCTCAAGGTGGATGTGTGGTTCAACTTCAAAATTCAAATTTCCATTTAGCTGTACCATTCTTGGAGTAAGCTTGCCACAGCTATTAGCAAGTATAGGCAATCGTCCATCAACCAGTAAAATTTTATCCATACAAATTCCATAACCAGTTGCATTTATGGAAACCATAGAAGAGTTTGGGCTAGGGAATTTATTTCCATTTTTATTTGGGCTGTAAATCATTTTGGCGTGCTTAATGAGCTCAGTTTTGTCTTCTAGCCTTTAGGCCAATTTCAAAAGTTGGCCCACACCTTAAGGCTTCAACAAGGTTTGAAACCCATTAACAAAATTGCCCAGACATAACTTCTCTGGTAATGTCGAGAAGGGACCTGCCAGACTATTGAGCAGCCTCCGGTAATCCCAGCAATTCCAGCCGTCTATACCATCCTCGATTATCTCGAATTTTGACGAAATTTCAGAGATAAGGGTATGATCTGGTGCAGCTGTTGTCAAACATTTTTTCAACCGATGTTCTGCTCGCCATTTATATTCATGTCTTTGATACTTGCTCCAAATTCCTCCGATTTTGGGAAAATTTCTGAGCTGATGGTCAACTTAGGTGAGGTAGCTGCCCACCCCTTTTCCTTCCTGTCCAGTTCCTCCCGACGGTGCGTGATGCGGGTATTTGCTCCAATTTCCTCCAATTTTGGGGAAATCTCAGAAGCAATGGTGAGTTCTAGCGAATTTTCTATAATCCCCTTATCCTGCCTTTCTCGTTCCAGTCCTTCCCATTCTTTTATCATCAAATCGAGCTTCTCTGTCATTTTAGACATCGCTCTCTAAAATTCGAATTTTATTTTTCGAAGCTCTTCTTGTAACTGTGACTGCAATACATCGATCTTTGTTTCCAAAAGATTAACTCGATCTTCTAATTGTTTTTCTTCCTCAGATGTAATGTCCCAAGGCCACAATGGTTGCTCTGATACTATTTTGACAGAAACCCAACTGTTAAAGCTGACTGGTTTAATGCAGAGATGAAAACGGAAATGAAAATGAGTAATTTTATTGAAATGAACGTAAGAAAGGACTCCAAACAACCCAAAGCACTCGAAAGGCTCGGGACTCTCCCACTAGACTCAACATACACGTGAATGAATGAATATCCCAACTCTCCCTTACATTTATAGACAATTTGCTAGCTATCTATCACCCTTTTATCCTTTTGCTAACAAACTATGGAATACTCTAGAATTGTTGATGGCTTGGGCTGTAATTTGATTGGATGTCTATCATGTGAATGTGTAGTTGAAAATAATCTAATAGCAAATCATAAAATAAATTAATGTGTGTCAAACAGGCACTAAGTTCGGAATTTATTATTGCTACTTGATTAATCTATATATGGTTGTTTGCAAGTTAGACCTTTTATTTTTTTTAATTCGTTTTATTATTAATTTTTAAGATGGTTTGTGGTTCACTTAGAACATGTTTTTGTATTTTATATTACACTGAATTATTTTATAGGTTTGTCAATGCACTAGTATCCCCAATTAAGACTTTCTAAACAATGCAAG